TATATATATATATATATATATATATATATATATATATATATATATATACATATATATATCATCCTGTGCTAGAGCACCTTCAAAATGTTTGTGCTCCTCTGCTTCGTTCCCTCGGGTGCGGCCCTGGTTAAGTTGCATGTGATTGCTGTGTTAACCATGCTATACTTTGTCTCGTTAGTGGCCGCGTATCTACAAACCATTTCCTTTTTTGGTATGCGGCGAACGCAATAGACAAAATGTAACATTCACGTTACTTTTTGTAGTACATCAAAGGGCAAAGACGCCGACTTTGTACATCCGGGAATGTTGCTCAGTCTACCGCCGTGGTGTCCTTGGTAATTGACGCATGGTAAACACCGCCATCAGATACGTCTTTTTTCATTTTGCTGCGTACTACCCCGACTAGTTGACGAAGTACTGTTTTCGAATGTTGATTCCATAGCTCTACCCACTGGGCCTCAGCTTGCTTTCAATAGCCTGTCGCTGGCACGAACTGCACGCGGAAATAGTACATTACCGGATCTAATAGTACATTACCGGATCCTTGATGTTCAGGCTCACGTGGCGGGTACCCTGCCGATCGCGACTGGCATTGTTCACGTGTTTACAACATTCCGTGCAGGGACCGCAGTAGTGGGGGAAGGGGCCGAGGAATAAGTGTAGCCGCCGCATCTGTGGATATTTATATTAACGCTATAGCGCTGCATGAACTAAATCGAAGTAAGAAATTGTGCTTGCACTTCCCCGTTCACATCTTCTCACAGGTTCTTCCGTGACAGGCTCCGTCCAATGTTTGGAAGAATCTCCGCGGCAAAAGTTCGCAAACGTTGAAGTGAACCCCATCCTGGCTTGAAGAGTGCTCATTCAAAGCCTCAAAGGCCCATTCTGACCTGTAGGACTATAACCGACTGTGGAAGGTCCATTCTGGCAGGTGCGGGAGCCCACTTAGAGCGCCTATTCTGGCCTAAAGAGGAGCTATTCGTGGCTGAGGAGGACCCAGTCGGGCCTGTAGAGAGCCCAATCTGATCTGTAGATGGCTCTTTCTTGCCCGTAGATGGCCAATTTTGTCATTTTATGGTTAGCCCGCACCTCCAGCTTCACTGTGGTTTCCGCGCCGCTGGAAATGGCGAGCATCGTACCACATCGCTGCAAATGGCAAGTATCGTACCGCGCTGCTGGAAATAGCGAGTATCGTACCGCAAATCGCTGGAGACGACGCGTGGCGTGCCGCGCCGCTGGAAATGGCGGGTATCGTACCGCGCCGCTGGAAATGGCGCGTAGCGTACCGCGTCGTCATTCGCCCCTTACTTTCGAAACACACTACGTGGGAGAGATGGTTATTCCCATTTATTGTGGTCTTGGCCACCGTTTGTGACAGATGGCCCCGAGTTTCTTAGCCGTGATAGTCTGCTTGTAATCCGGCTTAGGCATCATCGTTTCATGTTTTGGAATAAGTAAGGTCATTGGAAAACCTTGTAAAGTGTGCATCAATTAGTTTGCCATTATATTGTTGCGTAAAGGGATAGATTTATCAAAAGAAATGATGATTTCAAGTGTGAGGCACTCGACAACATTGGTCAGTGCATACCCGCCATGCCCTTCTCAGCATGCCCGCCATCCATGTTCTTAAATGTGGGGTCTGTACAGGCCAGGGCACGTGTGGTCGTTACAGTATGCCCTCATCACAACCGTCTTTTGAGTTGTTTACTTCAATGTTTGGGTAAAAGCTCCAGGTTGCTACGTAAAACGGAAGACAGCCGAGGCAAAGAAGCGGGGACTCGTGAGCTGTTCTCTTTATGTTGCATAAGGGGACCTGGTGAAAACATTATTTTTTGCCCATAACAGCGGAGTTCCTTGGATCCAGCCGTCGGTTTCCGACAACACTGCCGGTGCTTCGCGTCCCAGCACTGCAGACGTTTCTGTCTGCCTCGAGAACAACCACAATCCTCTACAGTGTGGACCATCGGATGGACTGCCAGAGTGCGTCACCTGAACCGGTTTGCTCTATGCTGTACCTGCATTTGCTGATCAGTGAGCTTGTCCCATTCCGCTCTACGCCGTGTGGCATGTGGCCATATTTGGCAGCCCTGCCGACGGTGACGCTTCCTCCTCCGTGTTTCGGCAGGCGGTACCTCTGCGCCGGTGACGCTCCCTCCTCCGTGTTTCGGCAGGTCGTACCTCTGCCCCCGGTGACGCTCCTCCTTCGTGTGTCGGCAGGCGGTACCTGCTGGTGGCGTCGCGCCTGGTACGGGCCCGGCACCATTTACCGGGCACTGGCGGCGCTCCTAACGCCGGCTGGCAGCGCGCTCACCGACCGGCTGCGCTACCCGCTGACCGTGCGCGCCTCCCTGCTGCGCGACGGCGTCGAGCTCGCCTCCTCCATCAAGACCATGACGCGCGGTGACATCCAGATGATGATGATGAAGGTAGCGGCCACGGCGCGCTGAGGTGCTGGTGGCCGTGTGTGCTACCTCGGACTAATTCAGCCGTTGAAGGCTGGACTGCAGGCAAAGTTTTTGAGTCTTTTTGCAGATTTGGCAGAACAAAGGTCACATTTGGCTGTGGTGGTTGTGAATTTGGCTCATCACATAAACGTGTCACATATGCTGCCCATTGCTTGCATATTTAGTTATCTCTTTTGAATACTCATCATATCAACGGCAACAAAACCACCGAACTACCTGTGTCCTCAAAATAACTGAACATGCGCGTAATGGCAGGTGCGATTGAATGGGTACAGATAGAAATTCCATTATCGCAACCATCAAACTAAGTTGAAATGGAGAAAACGAAACATCCATGCCGTATCTAACCTACCGGCCCGGCGTTCATGCGTCAGCAGCACTAGAGCTTTCTTTCTTTAAGACGGCTTTTCAGCGCGGACAAGCGCAAAGCAGTGGCAATGCTGTCATTGTTGCAAGGAATATTCCGTTCACTACGTCATAGGCCCGGCGGAGCAGCTCGAATACTGCGCCGCAACACTAGCATTGGACGGCGGCATTTACCAGCCGTCTAGAGGAGCCAGAATGGCAGTGCAAAAATAACATTGCTGCTGCTGTAAACAGACATAAACAGGAAATCCTGGCGCAAAGGGTAGCTGGCTAGAAGTACAAAGGACGTCCTCGGCAATATCCCGACGGACCGATGATCGGGCTTTGGCCCTAGAAAATATCGCATGCTTCCAGCATATCCTACCTTTCCTTTTGTGCCCCGGTCAGCGGACCACAACGATATGTTTCGGTATCGAGTTTCATGGTCCGATAAATGAGTCCATGCTGCATTTCCATTTTCTTGTTTATGTCCCCTCAGTCATATCCAGCTGTGGAGGACAGGCCAAGGACGCGAGGGCGTCACGGTTTAATGGTCGCGCGCCACATCTCCATGTTCACATACATTTCGAAATTATGATTTGTGACTTTCTTTTAAAACTGGGCTGCTCTTGTGGTCGGGATTGCCCTTGGGTCATCTAGGTTAACAAATAAGTAAATTAAAAAGCGAGGGGCTCAGAATCCGACCTTGTTTTGCGGCATACATCTATTCGAGGTCACGTGGGAGCCGGTCGACGCACGCGTGCTCCTAAGCCGGCTCTCTAGTCCTCGATGAATCGGCGTACAGTCTCATGCACAGCATACGCTTTCTGCGTATCCATGATTTCACGATGCATGCTTACCCCACTGTGTGACGTATGCCGCCTTGTGTTGACCGTCGGAGACACGCCACGTGAGAGGGAGTGTGCGTGCCTGCTCTGACAGGCTTCCAGCACCACGAACAATGTTTTGCACTGGTTCTATCCCCGTCCGACACTGTGTGTCTTGCTTCGTCGGACCTTTTTGTTCGGAGGTTTGCAAGGCTCACGGCTTTTCTTCTTTGTACGCTGTGCCAACAGATTGCAATCCGCCCTCACCCGCATACCATACCGATAGGCCCCCAACCCCTTGCGTGATGCTGTCATGCTTCCAGCACCTCTTCACCCTCATTCAGCAGCCTTTATCCATACCGTGTGATGTCGTCAGGTACCCAGCACCTCTGTGCGGGGCGACTACCGACTGCGCTTGGAAGGGGACCACCAGGGATCGGTGGGCGGCACTGTCTTCTTCAACGAGACAAGGTTGCAGTTCGCTCAGCGCTTCCTCACAGTGCTGATCCAAACTAGCCGGCCGCTCTACACATTCGGCCAGTTCGGTAAGCTCACCGATCAGTGTCAATGACCATGTGGGCCGCTAGAAAGGCTTGATGACTTGGGAGCGCACGCCCGTCTTTTTTATCTTGACAACAATGTTTTCGTCACGTTCGCCGTAGGCATGCTGTCATCGGAATGGACGCACGGAATGAGTAGGGCTTTGTGAAGTAAAGTGTGTCTTTAAATCGATCTTTCTGTGTAGAATGAAACGCTTCTCGGAACCAAAATATGCGAAGAACAGCCTCGTTACCCGTAACAGCCGCAGTTGGTACCCAGTGAGTAATGTCAGGGGAAATTCGCACGAAAATAGGCCGTTTTTCACATGAAGCCAGTTGTTTTACCATTACTGAACTTTGCATGCAGCCGTCTTGATAGCATACCTCTATGTGGAATAACTTTGCATATCCGACTAACCCACCTCTGCTTTCTGCTTCTGCTTCGACTTCAGACATGTCTACAGCGATATCTAGTCCTCATACCACAACTGTTTGTGCGAAAAAGTCCCAGCAAGACATTGTCATTCAAAGGGCGTGAACAGGTCGTGCGATATCTCCACTTCCATTCAAGGACGCTCACTGTCTTCTTATCGCGCGGCTAGATTGATTGCGCAGGCGGCTGGCACAGGGACGTCTAGAGTACCGTTGGGAATGCATAGTGTTGCATATGTGTTGTACCTGCTGACATCTTAATCAATGCTTTAAGTAGAGCTTAGAAAACCACGTGAAAACTGAGACATCCGGAATTCCATATGTACCGCCTGCTACAACCTTGGCTGAAGTGGAGTGATGTCCAGTTACCTGAATGCCGTTTGTTTGCTTGATTTAGGAAAATCACAATACAATATCGGGTTAATATCATATTCCGTACACTGTTTTAGTGTAGGTTCTGCCAGCTCCGTGATCGGGCCTTTAGACTGCCGCCGGCGCATCCATATTTGCATGACGGGTCCTCCGCCGTCGCCTCACAGTCGCTATCAGTTATAGTCATTGTCATTGATGTAATCATTAGTCATTAGCCATAGCCATCATCATGAAGCCATAGTCATTGGTGTCACGCCCAGGCTGTCTACATGACAGCCTGAGCGGCGGTTCGCCGAATCAGGACACAAGCCTCAGACAAACAAAAACTCCACTGGGTGGGTAGCAAAAACAATCAGCCGGTTTTTTTCCTGATTTGACATTGACGCTGTTTCTGGGGAATTGATCTAGAGTGCTAACATGAGCACTAAGTGAAATAGAGTGGCCGTTGTTCCAAAAGGTACACGAGAGTGACTTATTTATTTGAACATCGTGCGATAATTTGGTTCGCACCCTGAAATTTTGTGTAGTTATCAGACATAAGGAAGGCATTAAAACGATATCGGTAATTGTTTTTGAGCGTCGATACGCATGCATTTTTACCGCAGTGGCATAATTCACGCAATAATGACAGCCAGGCCAAACACGAATGAAGCAAATCAGCACGCTGTTGGAGACAGTTACAGATACCATAGGATGACACCATAGAACGATGCAGCCTTACAATAACTTTCTGAGACAAAATTCACATAAATGAGCTGCGGGGAACATTAAGGGATCTCATTCCTTGGCGTTCTTTTTTTTTTGTCCGCTGCCCCACCAACCCCGAGGAGCACTTTCGGTTTAATGGGCGATTTTGCCCGAGGGATTGTACTGCGCTGCCAGCCGTGCTACTGCGCTACCACGACCACCCTGTTTCGATCCAACTGCCCGGCCCGTTGCCAAATGGCGACCAAAGGCAAGCCAACACGGCGTCTGGGATGCAAACTTTCATGCCTGCCACACAGGGCGTACTAAGGTGAGAATGCTTTCCGTATTCGGCCAGCTTCCATGCCCATTTCTATTTTTCAGTCCCGTTCTAGCCCGGTTCACACTCACCTACTCTGCTCATGCTCACTCACTCTTCGTCGGTATCGTGCGTGCCCACTTCCGTGTATGCATAACGCGACGTGCTCTGTTCGTATTTCAGTGAGGTTTCGTATCGTCATGCTGCGGACAGACTTGAAGCCCTTCGATGACCCGGTAGACGTGTACGTACTGGTAAGCAGTGACTCGAACTGGTCCAGTGGAAATTAAAGACAGATCATACAGCATTAACAGCCTCACTTCTCGAAGAACAACCAGGAGAATGATAGATAGATATATTGATATGTGGCTATATGAAAAGCATATAAATTGTAAATTCACAATTACCTACTTTTGTAAGTGAGCTATTTATTTGGGAAACTTTATTGTGAAATTTTGAATTGATTACTAATATTCGTTTCTATACAGACATGCAGCCGAAATATCAGCATCAATATATATATATATATATATATATATATATATATATATATATATATATCTCTCTCTCTCTCTCTCTCTCTCTCTCTCTCTCTCTCTCCCTCTCTCTCTCTCTTCTCCTGGCCATTCTACGAGGAACAAGGCTTTTAATGCTGTCTAACTATATGCATAATGTTCCCCGCATATGCACTTAACGACTTATGATACAAAATGAAAACATATTAATGTGGTAACAATGCGCAACTAGAAGTAGATCATGGATAATTGTCTTATTTGTATCTACAAAAATGGTGAAGAATATGTAGACAAAGTCACAAGCACGTTCGAGTGTTCTATTTCTTCCAACCAATTGAAAGGCGTGCATTTTTATGTGATATGCTTGACGGTTTGTGCATCACGCCGGAGTTTACGTGGGACCATGTTTTATGATGAGGATTTACAGTGCAGGTGCAATGAGTATCATGCAAGTGTGGGGAGAACCTGTAAGGTACTGTCACGTAGTTGCCGAAAACATATTCTTGGTGGCGAAATATATAGAGCAGACAAGCAAGCAGCGCCAAGTGGAGCAAACCGACCTTAGCCTGGCCCCCTGAGTCTGAGGCCCGATCCCCAAAGCAGTCATACATGTCCGGTTACGTCCGTCTGTGACGATCGCCGACATGGTTAGTGACGACGATTGGTCAAAGTTAGTGCATGAGGCGGGGATATTTCACGCTGGCTTCGCGCGATTAGTCCACGATGTCGTCGAAGGATGCAACCAGGCGTGGGCGTGGACGTGACTTAATCCTCCGCGCTGCGCTATGGCCCGAAGCAGCGTCCAATGTACAGGCTCACAATCCACAATCGCATGTCCCCAATGCAATCATTAGTTTTGTGACATGGGGCGTGTCGCTGACTCGTCTACATGCGTGGCAGCAATCGGCTCAACGATAATTGGGCTCTTGCGTCTCATCCATTGCCAGGGCTATTTCGAGACAGATGTCTTTCTTAGGTTTCATGTGAGATTCAGCGGTGGCGTGGCAAATGCCCTAACCCAGGAGCGACAGATTCAGAGCCGAGCGCCCTAACCACTAGATCCAGAGCCGAGCGCCCTAGCCCCTAGATCCAGAGCCGAGCCCCCTAAACATTAGATCCTGAGTCGAGCGCCCTAACCACTAGATCCAGAGCCGAGCGCCCTACCACTAGATCCAAAGCCGAGCGCCTCTAGATCCAGTGCCGAGCGCCCTAAGCACTAGATCCAGAGCCGAGCGCCTCTAGATCCAGAGCCGAGCGCCCTAACCACTAGATCTAGAGCCGAGCGCCTCTAGGTCTAGAGCCGAGCACTCTAACCACCACACCACCACCGCCCCAGCGGCAACCGACTCACAAATTTGACAGAACATTGAGGACAATGCCCTCTTTTCCTCTCCTTTCTGCATCGTGACGTGTTTAACTTTCGTGGGGAGGGACTGGCGACACCCAACCGCATGATGAGCCATTTAAATACCGGCCACGTCTCCGCCGATCTCAATGCCGCAGCTGCTGCCTGGGATCGCCGCACGATAAGACTGCGCTCCTCTGGAGCCGGTTCTCTGAGACTCTGACGTCAGACACGGCTCCCGCGTCGTCGCTATCTCACTCTGATTCGCGACTTGTTCGTGACGGCTCCGTGTCGTCACTGTGGCAGACCGGTTTGGGTACGTCAGAGATTTGCTCCCGCCTGCAGACGTCACAGTCGTGAATTTGAGTTTACTTTAAGCAAGCGATATGGTGACATCAGTGCAAACAAAGCATGATACATTATTGCACTCTAGGAAAAGTTTTGGGCCAAGCCTTCGAATGCACTACCTTGTTCTGCAGGATGCCCCGTGTGACCGCTCTTTCATACGTGTTCTCGGATCCTGGATAATGCTCTCTGGCACGGCCTCTGGCAATTTACTCTGTCAGGTGCGATAGCTTAACACGTGTTGCTTTGCCTGATCAGGACGCAAGCCGCAGCACATTGTTTCGCCCTGTCGGATATGCTGAACCTCAGACATAGTGCCGCGCGCTGTCAGGCCCAGGGCTTCATAAATTAATACCGGCTGACTATGAGAGACGCGCAAATTCTACTGCATGGGGATTTTCTCCGTGAGGCTCGCAGCCTTAATCTACGTCCGGCCAGAGATCTGAGACAGCCACGCCCGGCCGGAGGTCAGAGACAACCGCGCCCGGCCGTGGGTCTGAGACAACCGCGCCCGGCCGTGGGTCTGAGACAACCGCGCCCGGCCGGAAGTCTGAGACAGCCACGCCCGGACGGAGGTCTGAAACAACGGCGCCCGGCCGGAGGTCTGAGACAACCGCGCCCGGCCGTGGGTCTGAGACAACCGCGCCCGGCCGAAAGTCTGAGACAACCGCGCCCGGCCGTGGGTCTGAGATAGCCACGCCCGGCCATGGGTCTGAGACAGCCACGCCCGGCCGTGGGTCTGATAACGGCGCCCGGCCGGAGGTCTGAGACAACTGCGCCAGGCGGGGAGGGGGGGGGGGAGGGAGGATGAGTTGACTTCCGCTGGGATCTTCAGCTTTCAAACGATAAAAAAGATGCTGTTGTGGCGGTCTCGTCAAATGATGAAAGACGCTTAACACATGTTTGTTCTTAGGCTAAATGTGAGGTCACCGGAGGTCACGCAATGTCAGAGACCGTCGTTCTGATGGATGCACTTAAAACATTTGTCACAACATGAAAAAAACACGTCAAAACGCATTTTGAGGGTGCAAAAATAAGCGTTTAAACTACAAGGAGTCCATTATGACCATTTCTGTACCCCCGCAACGATCAGGTCAGGTTAAGTCAGCGTTCAAAACTGGTCTGCCAGTAGCTTACAAGAACAATACTTTTATGTTTTCCTCCACAAGGTGCTTCTGACTCGGTTTATTTTATTGGGTACAGCTGTGGGACGAAGGTATCCACAAACAAGTACAAAATTATTGTAGGCTGATCCAGAGGTCAGCTGAGGTCAACTTAAGTCAAATATGTAAACCATGTGAATAAAAAGATTTAAGCACTAATCGGGTCTAAGTGAACAGTGTAATGTTTTTCTGCTGTCAGAAACAGTGTGTGGTACATCTACAGATACTCAAGATCACATAAATGTTGTTTACATCACACATAGTCCCGCCGACGCTTAGCAATGTTGTTGAAACAAATCAAAAACAGGCACGTTCGTACATCTCATAAGATTTGTTATTCGTCATCCCCTTCACAAACACGGTATGCAGGTGGTTTCACGCGTCGCACTCGTTCATCTGGCCTCTCCGCTGCTGGCAACAGAGGTCATTGACCTTTGATGACCTCACACGACCTTGCATGCCCTCATATGATCTATTGTGACCTCATCATGCATTAGAATTAATGCAAAACATTTTTCCAATGGGGTATTTCAATTGTGCGCCAAATATTACCGAATAAAGCTGCTTATTTTGAGCTCAACAAGCGTTTTGCAAAAGGCACCCATAGAGATAGGTCATGACACGGGCCAACGTTATGTGCTCTGTGATTATATGATGGCTGCGCATTTGAGTAAGTGCTCTTTTTCTCGTATACAAACATCAAAACTACACAAGAATAAATCAGAATTCAAATTTGCACTATTAGAAAGCACCAAAAGTCCGCCTGACCTCAGGTCAATGACCTACCTTGTTTCGAAAAACAAAACATTCAACTACAGGCATCATCATGTTTTAATGCAATTGCAAGTTTGAGCAATGACGAATAGCTCACAAAAGGTCATGCCTGGTCGAAGTCTTTCAAAGTTTGACCCCTGACCTGACCTAAGTCACTGATCTTGCCACATTTAAGGTTCCAATTTTCACAGAGTAGGCCGATGATAATGCGCTCGGTTGCGATCGCACGCCTTATCACAAGCACGGCTTGTGTTCTGTTAGGCTTTCAGGCTCTAACGCGTGCTGATTTCCTGCGCCAGGCATGTGAACGTGTGCTGATTACTTTGCCAAGCATGCAACTGCAAGTGTGTCCTGGGTCGGTGAGCTGGCTCAGATCGCAGCGCTGTCCCATTCCGCACATCAGCTGCCTCTTGCACACATCTGTAACACCTGGCGTTCATTGACTCGTAGGTCGACGCTACCCAAGGGACCGGGCATTTCACAGCAGCGCAGACTGGGGTTTTCAGACACGACACGATGGATTTCCGATAATGGACGGAGATGCCTCGTCGGACCGGTGGTAACATCTTGCGCCTGTTCTGTGGCTAATGCCACGGTGGAACTACCAGTTATGTGATGTTGTGGCTGCTTGTCTGGCATTGTCCGCTGCGTCTTATCCGCAAGAAAACATTCATAGGATTGCCTGGAGCCTTTGATAGCTGGGCTCACCTTTGGGGTATATACAGATTTTGGGCAAAAAGTTATTTCGCACATAGGTGGCTGGTTTCATATCAAACTGCTCCGTGTGCTGGAATCTTTGATCAAACTAAATGCCTCGACATTGTTTTTTTTACCGACACTCATCAACCATTACAAATGACCCACTTTTCACGCTAAGCGATGCTGACGGTGCGCTCAATTTCCGCCTGTTTTCCAATCCCAGAAGCATGGCTATGTCTGGCGCCAGGGGTATCACTTTCTAAAATTGAATGGGGGGGGGGGGGGGCGGCTGAGCGATGAACTGGTCCTAAGCTATCTTAAAATTCTGATATCTCCCCGCTTTTCGGCCCCTTTGATTTGCGTCCCTGACATCGAAAGCAAAAATGTATTACTTTGGTCCGTTGCAAAATTGTTTTGATGTTGAAGAATGAGTTCCCATTGTAAGCCGACGTGGTAGTGATAATGATGATATGTGACGATTTTGATATAGATAGTGATGCGTTTATGACCGAATGTACCAGCAGCTTAGACACTTGCTACATTTCATCAGCCCAGTATTCCCTTTTTTGCTGACATACAATTGGGGAGGGGTTCAGAAGAGAACTGAGTGGGCTCAAGTTAGCATCGGCGGTTCAGCCCCCCCAGAAAGTATGCCAAGTGGCACCCCTGACCGGCGGAATTTGCCATCAGGGCCTGCGCCGCTCAGCGGTCCTGCGGGGACAAGTGTCCTGTGCGGGAACGACGGCCCCTCAAACTGGGCCGAACTAGCCAATAAAACTCGCTAACGAGCCAAGGTAGCCGAGTGAGTGAGAGAGGGAGGGGAAGGGAGGGGGAGAGGATGAAAGCACAAGCGAAACAGCGGGAGACCGAGGGAGAGAGAAATGGTTTGGAGAACAGCTTTCCTGGCACATGAACAAATGTTTGTTACACAGGTGCGGGCAGTGCGACACAGGACAGACGACTGAACAGCGAGACGACAAGCCCCAACTGAAGAACACGCACACCGAAAGCAACAAAATGCATTTCAAAGCACAAAACATAAATCATTATCCCACAAAGGCCAACCCGCTATCTACGAGCCGTCACGTGCTTCAAGGCAGCTTCACAGGCCGCACGCGCACGTTCAACCTGCCGGACAGCGGCACCTCAGCCTTCTGGGCAGCCAGGCGCGCATCCAGCCTGCCAGATAGCGGCACCCCAGCCGTGTGGGCAGCCAGGCGCGCGTCCAGCCTGCCAGACGGCGACATCCCAGCCGTGTGGGTCGCCAGGCACACTGGCCCGATCTGTCAGCGATAAGGCTGTCGCCGCCGTGTGACGCGCATACCCGGACCCGAGGACCGGCGCGGGACGAGGCCGAGACGGACTGGCTGTGGAGGGGTCGAGGGGTCAGCCGGTACTGGGCCTGGACCTGGACCAGCCGGCTCGGACCGCTGGGGAGCAGATGCGGATGTTGGCAGTTGGCAGGTGCCAGTCCGTCCCCGGCCGTCGTCTGCTATCAGCGGGCGGCGCTCACATGCCGCGTGGGCCTCAGCCATTAGCGTTCGCTGGTCGCTGCACAGCATGTCGGTCGTGAGTGAGCCGGTGATAGGTGGTGCTCAAGTGCCTGCGATGGTGCTGCGCAGTGGGCGCTGTGGCGGTGGCGGGGATGGTCGTCTCGAAGTCATGAATATACAGCACTAGACCGCTCACGAACAGCCATTGATGAAGATATTCGTAGCGTTTCTGTCGCCCGAAAACGCCGGTGTGTTGCATCAGTCCTAGATAGGGCGCGACAGAAGTGTGATCATTCTGGGGGGAAGTTTTCCTAAGTCAACGGAACAGCTTTGATAGCCCCAGTGCCGCTTGGAGCGTTTATGGCCATAGAAGGTAATCTTGTCTGAGCACTGGGCACTTGTCTAAAACAGCCGTGCAGCGTACGCAAACTCCCGTCTTTCGAACATAAGGATGTTCCGCAGAGTACATAATCGAACATTCAGAGAACGTTCTCGTTAGTAGTTTCGAGCAAAGTGATTAACAGAAGCAACGCATTGGGTGTGATTCAGCCAATACCAATTACTTGCCGTGCACTTTTTATTGCTGGACATTGGTGTAAATAAGTGATTTTGAGTTTTAAGATGGCCTCTGCACCGATGGCATAACGACAGTGTTGCCTCTGTTTCAGGACAGTGATGGCTATATTATGAGGCGCTGGCCATCACAGTCGTCCAACAACGGTAAGTGCCCTAGTTCCACGTCGCTGCACCCGAACAAGATCGTGCCACTGTGTGGTCATCTCGTCTTTGTCACACCGCTTTGCTGTCTTCACCTTTCACTGCAGTAGCACAATATAGACCCCTAGCTTCAGCCTGGAAAGTCATATGGCCATGATGACTGAGATCTACGTAATAAACAAGGTTACTACCCACCATGTTTTACGCGATAGCCATTGTTGGAGTTTAGCTTACCACGACTCGAGCGATTTTCTGGTTCTACGCACTTCTTGATTTACTACCCAAGTATTTGCTTTTTTGACGGCTCATGTGGCGGAATTTACAATTCATTGCCGGCTAAAAAAGTGTTTGATGTTTGAGCAAAACTGCACACTTCAAGGCATTTTAAGGCGCGTCATAGTCACTCATCCGGCTTTTTGAACAGCTGTTGCTTTGATGAGTGCCGACCCGTGGTGGCTGCTGACGTGCGCCGATGACGTGCGCCGACCCGTGGTGGCTGTTGACGTGCGTCGACCCGTGGTGGCTGCTGACGTGCGCCGATGACGTGCGCCGACCCGTGGTGGCTGTTGACGTGCGTCGACCCGTGGTGGCTGCTGACGTGCGCCGATGACGTGCGCCGACCCGTGGTGGCTGTTGACGTGCGTCGACCTGTGGTGGCTGCTGACGTGGGACGGTGACGTGCACTAGTGGCTGCTGACGTGGGACGGTGACGTGCACCGGTGGCTGCTGACGTGGGACGGTGACGTGCACCGGTGGCTGCTGACGTGGGACGGTGACGTGCACTGGTGGCTGCTGACGTGGGACGGTGACGTGCGCCGCAGGTGTGGTGGCGCTGAGCTTCAAGCTGCCCGGCATCGGCAAAGGCGGCTGGTGGCGCATCCGGGTCAGCGTGCGTGGCCAGATCGAGGAGAAGTTCATGCGCCTCACCAAAGTCCGCAGCCAGCAGTGGGAGGTGGGCGTTCACGCTGTGGCCGGCGCTGCCGCAGTGGCGGCTGTTTGTGCCAGCGTGTAAGGGCTGGTTGATCGCCAGTGGTGAGGTGGCGCCAGACCATTGTGAGTTGTCGTTGACATGACCTGTGACCTGACCGTGGCCTGAATTATGTGACTCGTTATGTGGACTAACACTGTTGACTCCCGGTATAATTCATAAATATCTTTTGATTCATTGCCGTTGATTCTCGGTGCAGCCCAACAACATATTCCCGTCTTAACGACCGACCTACGAAACCTAAGCGTATCATCATGTTTCCTTTTGCGCCATCAATTAACCTGAACAACATGCCCATCAAATTCATTGCTTCGATGAAAGTAGCAAACGCCGTTTGGATGAACATAAGTGGAGATCTTTACTGAAAGTTTGTATCACACTTTCGGATAACACCTAGATGATTGCTTTGGAAGTCGTGATCAGAAGCTACGCCGCCAACTTTTCCAGTACTTGAAACGACATGCAATAGCAAATGCCATCATCATGGCCAGACAAGCTGAAAGCAAATGTGGTGAAAAATGGGGAGACACTCTCAAACAAGTTGTTGGGTGGGGCTGTAACCATAGGCACGGACTAGTGCTTCAAATTTGGGACGATCCTGTCTCTGTACTGCCACAGGCCTTATGTTAAAATCTAGATATGTTGGGAGCTCCCACCCCACCACGCACACCAGTAACACCCCAGAATGAACGGAAGATACAGGCCATTGGGTCAGCTCTAACATTCAGCGACTTGACAAGATGCACATAAGGTGCGGTCGCAGTGTCGGACAGCTGGCTGTTGACGTACGGGCCAACTCGGCACCGGGCTGACCTCTGACCTGCCGTGGATCGGTGGCAGTGTCGGCCAGTTGCCTGTTGACGTACGGGCCAGCTCGGCACCGGGTTGACCTCTGACCTGCCGCGGATCGGTGGCAGTGTCGGCCAGCTGCCTGTTGACCGGGCCAGCTCGGCACCGGGGTGACCTCTGGCCTGTCGTGGATCGGTGGCAGTGTCGGCCAGTCGCCTGTTGACCGGGCCAGCTGAGCACTGGGCTGACCTCTGACCTTCCGTGGATCGGTGGCAGTGTCTCCGCTGACCTGGCGCAGCGCCGTCAGCTTGATGAGTCCACCCTGTCAAACGACAAGGGCCCCTCCGAAGGTCAGCCGGCCAGTTCAGGCGGCGGCGCGACATCAGTGTCACGGCCAGTATGTGGCTAGCTGATTCACAGCATGCTTGTCGCTGCCAGCGTGAGGTTGGCGTGTCAGTCTCGTGTTGTGTGCCCTGCTGATGCTGCACCGAGTGACCGCAGCCTCGTTTGCATAGATCGTTGCCAACACCACTGCACGTTCCAGTTTTGAATGAGTTCGTCGCGGGCTGTTGCAAAAATTCCAGTCTCGTCACTATGAAGCTCCTTGAATTGCAGTACTGCATTGACAAAATATTGTTTGCGAACTTCAGCGGATACAGATGAGCCGGTGCCACATCTGCATTCGTGAATTGCAAAAGCTCTCGCACACTCCGCATTCTTGCAGTGCAAGTCGTGGAAGTTGTTTGAGCTGCTGGAGCCCCGATGTGCGCTGTTTGACAGGACCTCAGCCGACGAGTGCTCTAAAGAGACGGATTAGGCAGACGGAGCCACCGCCGCCACGTGCGATCCTCTCAATTCATGAGCCGCCCGACCCGGGGTGACCACGACCGGCTGGCGACTATTCATGATGTCCTTATACGATGTGAGCTGTACGTAGTAGAGCTGGGAAGTGAGACCGCAGGGGACGCGGATGCGCGAGGGTGGCACGAGATTACTGTCACGCGAGCGTGACACGAGATTATTGCCACACGAGCGTGGCACGGGCCAGCCTCACCCATGGACTTCTTGGAACCCAAAGGTGTGACGCTAAGTGTCAACACGGGGACAGCCGCGGCGACGGGGACGGCAGGTCACCAGGTACCGTGCTCGCCATTTGAGGTTAGCAATACGCCACTGCAAGCCGCGACAGAGCCTGTCACGAGTATTGCTTAATGACAGATGAAGCACCAGGGCGCTTGACCATCATTTAAAAACATATTTGGTTTTAAAAGCAAAGCGTCGGTTATGTTTTATGCGTATGCATGAAAGGACATTAGCAAGAGGCCGGCTTTGTATTGGACCAGCTTTCCTAGTCATAGCCGCTATACCAAAATAAGATTTTGAGACATATAGATGACTGCTAAGTTAGTTACAACGCCCCGCATCTTTTCATATGACCCATGCGTTTGGGCTACAAATACGGGCTCCACTGGAAAGTCGTTTATGAGTGCAACACGCAGAAAGTTACGGGATGCCATCCCTATTCATTTCATAGCTTCCTCAAGCCATGAACTTCTTTTTACGCAGTCCGAATTCTAACGAGCTTCTGCGTTAGCATGGGCCATTGAGAGGAGGGCACGCACATCAGGACTTCTACCATAGCGGTGCCTAAGTTTAATACCATAGCGGTGCCTAAGTTTAATACCATAGCGGTGCCTAAGTTTAATACCATAGCGGTGCCCAAGTTTATAGCGTCGCAGCCGAAACAAAACGCACGAATCGTAATGCATTAGTTGGCATGTAAGGTTGGTATTTAAATTGCTCGAAAACAGGGCTCTGCTGTGATTGAAGCTCGGTCCGGAATCGAATGCAACGTTGGTACACAGGGGTGAGAAAAGTGCCTTTTCTGTCACTGACGAAACTTAGAACCGTCTTAATTGTCACCTGGAACTGAATCTTTCAGAAACCGTTGCAACATAGTTCTAAATACGATACACCACAAAGTGAACGCAAATTTAATGCAACGCGGCATAACTGTCAAACATTTTTGTTTCGGAGATTCATTTGCGCTGAAGCATCATTCGCTGGCCATTAAGCACTAAATGATAGTTGGGACTCAACTAATAAAGTTATCAGATAAAGGCGTACTTAACATAATCAGCTTGGAGGCGTGTAGTTTCCTTTTCAGATAGAGGAAGGGGATTGTACATTCTAACCATGGATGTAGTTTCCTGTTTTTAGTTATGATTTGTAAGCAATATTGTTTATTAATCACGAGTTTTAGTGTCTACATCTTTTGGCTCACTTTGCTCATGCAGCGAAACGTCAACGTTTCGACAGATGTTCTACTCATGCTTATGCTGCTGCTCACGAGCACAGGCCGATACTAAGCTTTAAGTTCCGTTTGGCTGGGATAGTAAGTTTTAAGATGGTCTGGGCCGTTGAACTTTGCTTGCATATCCGTAATTTTGTCACCAATCGGTTTGCAAAAGTGTCAGTTTTTGTCAGCGATCATGTCCGGTAAACCGGAAGTTTTTTTCACACCTGCTGGTGCACACCTAGCTCCCTTTAAGGCCAGTTGGTATGTGCAGTTTTCTTTTGACATACCTTTTTCTGCGGCTTTATCATGCAGAGAATACCCGAGGTTTCTTCAATGGGTGACACTAGTAGAGACGGAGCCACCAAAGACACCCTACCGCTTTTTTCCATGTTAACTGTTTTACCCTTCTGCGTCCCCGCCTCACCAGAAAACACCAGAAGCATGACGTCACATAGGCATGAACGAACAAGAAGATGCATATGTCCTGGCTGCGTCTCACGTTTGCGAATTATTGAGTTCCGTTCCACGAAGAGGTCACAGGCGTGTGAGATCGGGAACGTGCTCCGTGTCAAAATGGGTCCATACCTGCAGGTGTTCGTGTGGACGCCCACCTACTTCCTGCTCTCTGGCGAGAACATCACTGGGGAGTTTTCTGCCGGCTACACCAACGACAAGAACGTGCGTGGTAACGCCACGCTGGAACTGTGGGTGCGCACTGGCTCACCCCTCACCGAGCGTGATAAGGAGTACACGTTCGTGGCCTCGCAGACATTCACCCAGGCAAGTCCATCCAAGCACCCAGGACGGTGGCAGCGGCCGCACTAAAGGTCAGGCGTCGTCCGAGGGAAGAACAGACCGTGCCGAGCATTGCGGGACGTTAAACTTTTGATAACAAATTCTGCCATTGACCTGGACTTTCATGATCAGATGATAGGTGTCAGGGCTCGCGCAACACGTGCTGTTTAGCATGAGCTTTAAACTCCCAAATCCATCCATTCAAAAGGATTCGTCTAAACATCTAACAAAGTTGTGTTAGCCAGGGATGAGGACGGCTGTGTGCGACATCGGATCCCGTGACGACTGGTGTTTTGTAGACTCAGCCTAGCCAGCTGTGCAGATGTGGGATGATTGAAGCCGACAAGGTATGTCAAAATACACTTGCACGCAGGCTGAATGGCTGATTTACCTGTTCATTGCGTGATCGGTTGAATATTTGCATCGTTTCACGATGGATTATCCAGTCAGCCCCATAGTTCAAATGCGATAGGCGTGAGCGAACCTACCTGTTTCTCCAGTGTTGACGTCATTTCGTTTTCAGTTTGACGGAGGCGATTCTTTCTCCTTTCCGATGGCAGCCCTTCAGGGGACAGTACCCAGACTGAACGAGGCTGAGGTCAAAATAATTACCCGGGTAAGACAATTAAAGGCTGTGTAAGAAGGCGTTCTTTCCTCGTTGGCGCAAGGCGTCCTTTTTCATCACAGCATGCTTGTATGTGGCACGCTTTTTTGTACCGAAGCCCGGCACGGTGTCACAGGCAACGCCCCAGGCAAGGCGAAATAGGCTTTAAGTCTGTAACTCTGTCGGCCCGACCCAGCCTGTCATGCCTTTGATGAAAGGTGTGAGTGTCGGAAATTACGTCAGAACTGAATGTCGAAAATTTACAACCACTCATCGTATTGTCACGAAGTGTTCAGCAACAGCTTTCACGGTTGTTTAAAGCTGCGTTTGCTATTTTCAATGCTTTGGAATGCAATAACAGTGCTAAGAGTGCATAAAGATGCTGTTCTATTATCACCATGGCCATCAAAACGAAAACTATTAAAATCCCGTGCATTTTTTGGACGCATTTCGAATGGCTGGCCAGGCCTTGGGAGGCTTAGGTAAGGCCGCATATATAAGTGGCAAAACAAAGACTTAAAACAATAGGTAGAACAATCCGGTCGTCAAAAGTGTCCCCTTCATGTGACATGACGGAAGACATGGCTTAGAATGAGTAATGCATCTTATCCACCACGATCAAAAACAAAATATTGATCGGTGTAGCATGACCACTCACAGCGTAAGGCTTCTTCTGTTCTCACAACAGGTATGCAGGAGTATACCGTACGTTACTGGGCCGAATTCTCGCTAGCGATTGACATACGAGTGACAAGCTCCTGGGCTCTTAGCATTTCCATTGATAAGTCCCATTTGTAAAGCCTCCCGAAGAAAACCGGCTCCATTCGCTCCTGTTTTGATGTCACCTATATGTGATAATGACCACAACTGCTATTAACTCGCACTAGCTACGCCACCAAAGGCGTCTGGCTGTTCGATAGCCGTATATGTCAAGTTCAGCTCAAGCATCAACCGCATTGTGCAGCCGATAGTAGAAGTTTTCCCTTAGTTGTATCCGCCGTCTGTACAACATTTCGTGTGGAGTACGAATGTCGGACAAACCAGGTATAACACGAAGACCGTTTATAACATGTTAGCCAGGTTATTGTTTTTTGAGCGTTAAACTTCTACCGCAGGGAAAGCCCGGTACATCCTGTAGTCCGTCACTGGCTCATTTCTCGAAATTTCGCGATCATTTCGCCAAGCTCTTGAGCCACAAGGCCACCGTGCAGTCAGAGACCGCGGGCACAGTCTTAGTCGTTTTCATTCTTCGCGTTCCAGGTGAACGACTACTGGCTGAACCAGACTCAGGTGGGCTTCTGTAACTCCAAGCTCATCAACTCGTCCGTGTCCATCCAGTTCCTGGGCGCCGCACCTCAGCTGTACAAGCCGGGAATGCCATTCAAGGGACAGGTGCGTGGCCGTTCCGCGGCTAGCATGCTCTGCGGCAGCTTGACGGCTCAGCATTTTTTACACAGTATGCGCCTTGGCCACTTAGCCTTACTTCTGGGTTTGGTGGTCAAGCGTAACTCTTTTTTGAGGAAAGAAACATCAGTAATAAAGGCGCTGTGGCTTCGAAAAATATGATGCATAAACACTATGTAATAGACATAAGTTCACTGAGCCAATGTGTCGTCTGTATCTGCGTACCTACATGGTCTAAAAGTACGTCCGAGACCGCGAAATTCATAACGAACTAAGCTATCGGAAGGCCTGCGAGCCCAAATGGTGTGTGGCGCCTCCGTAACGGCCGGCGCGCGCCGTCGCAGGTGCTGGTGACCTATCATGACCAGGCGCCACTCTCGCCGGAGACACTGCGCCTCTCCACGCTGACCATCAGCTCGTCGGGCGACACTGCCGGCGGCGTGCGCATCCCCAGCGAGGCGGAAGTGGCGCAGCAAGCCGCCTGGCGCAACGGCACTCTGTGGCTGCCGGCGCGCGGCGAGCGCCGGCTGGGCGAGGCGCGGCATTTGCTGCCTGACGCCGAGCGCGAGTACCTTGCCGCCCTGCGAGACGACTATCTGCGGCGGCACGAGTGGGCCGAGTACCGGGCCTCCGGCCTGCACCGGTTCGAGCTGGCGACGCCGCCGCGCGGGGGGCCGCTCCAGCTGACGGCCACGTTCAGCGCGGCCGACGGCGTCACGGCCGCAGCCTCGCTCGCGCTGCAGCCCTACTACTCGCTCGGCAGGAACATGATCTCCGTCAGCACGTCCAATCGGAGGACGGATGTTGGCCAGTACGCCGTGTTCCACGTGCGCTCCAACTTCCCCATGTCGTACTTCTACCTCATCGTGAGTGTGGGGTTGGGGAGGGGCAGGGTAAGCCACCACACGAGGTGTCAGACACGGCTCGATGGTGCCGAGCATTTAACGGAAGCCAGCAGTCGCGGAGTATCGCGGAGCATCCAGTATCGCCTGTGCTGGAATATGTCTCGCACTTTCATCGTGACTTTTCAGGTTTTGCCTTTGAAGTATTTTTAGGTGGGGGTGCCCGTAGTATAGTGGTTAACGCGTTAACGTCTGCGCGTCTGGGAAACCAAAGGTACGGGGTTCGATTCCCCGCGGTGCCCGCCCTTCCTGCCAGGGGGAGAAGCAGGCGACGCCATATAGCCTCAGCAGCTGAGTGCGCCGTAAAGCCCCAATGACACACACACACACACACACACACACACACACACACACACACACACACACACACACACACACACACACACACACACACACACACACACACACACACACACACACACACACACACACACACACACACACACACACACGCACACACACACACGCACACACACACACACTGAAGTATTGTCAGATGCAGAGCTGCTTAAAGCGACATGCACCTTGCCTCTTGTCAATCTTCGTACCGCCCACAGTCCTGCAAGACCCCTTCTCAAGCATCAACGCCCCGCCTCGCCTCTCCCCAACTCACGCGAATTCGTACCGCGCTGCCTTGCGGCTGTCGAGCTCCTCCTCAGCGCTACCGCTCTTGCAGGTGGTCAGCAAAAACCTTGTGATCCACGGCGACCGGGTGCCGGTGAGAGACGCGAGCGGGCCTGCCGTCACCACCACCTCGCTGCCCGTCTCGGCAGAGATGGCGCCCAGCTTCCGGCTGCTTGTGTACCACGTGACCAGCCAGGGCGTGGTGGTCACTGATGCGGTTCAGGTGCCCGTCGAGGGGATTAACCGCGGCCGGGTGAGTCGTACTGTTGCCGTGTCTGTGCTGGAACCGCGGCAGTGCGTTTCGGACCGCTCGAGTCCGCCCAAAAATGGGTGTGTTACCCGAGCTGATTCTCCTTTGAATTATTGCGCAGGTTTCGATGTCAATATAGTTTTAATTCGACTGCAGTGGTGTGTCGATTACTAACGAGTTTGTTCTTGGTTCTGAGGGTGTCACGAATGATCTGTAGATAGTGATACATAATGTTTAGAACGAGGTTTATTTTGAACTTGGGTACATGAATGCTTACCTCCTTCTGTATACTTTGGGAACCATGGTAACATGAGACATTCGCCCTCGCGTCGCAGACGAAGCTGGTGCTGAACCAGCACAAGGACCACTCGAAGAACACCATGGAGCTGGGCATGTGGAGCACGCCGGGCGCCACCTTCTGCACCACCTCAAACCGGGCCTACCTCTATAGCGTGCAGGCGGGTCACGACCTCAGCCGCACCTCGGTCCTCTCCAGCCTGCACTCGTTCGAGAACACCACCAGGTCAGCTGACTCTGCTCCCGCCCGTTTGCGGGGTCAGACATCGCGGCGACGGACCCGGGTTCGATCCCATGCGCAGGAAACTTTACCTGCTCCCGGTTTGCGCCAAAGGCGACGTCGCCATTGACATCGGTGGGTGCACGCACCGATAAGTAAGCCAACGATACCCCGTCCGCCGTCTGTCGGTCAGTCGTCATCTCTCGTATTGCAGCTGGGTGTATTGCAGCAGCCTAGCTCCGTATGTAAGCATGCTGTCAAATGTCGATGACACGCGCAGTGCGCGCTGTAAGGTCGTTGACATTTGTCCGGTGCATCCGCCAGTCCGCGTGACAGCAGCGCCGCCCCTGATCCTGGGGAAGGGGGGGGGGGGACAGTTCAGACAGTGCGGCGTTGTCATAGCCCGGACTGCACGCAGCGCGTGTCGATCAATAGTCGGTAGTGCTGGGAAGCATGGTGAACTATCCCGCAATATATAGGGTGCAGGGCATCCTCTAACGTTCGGTGGCAGCCCCACAAGGGGAATTTATATCGCAACTGATTCCATTATTTTGTGCAGCGCCATGCCCCCAATGGCACGTGTTTGTCAAATGTTTGCATCGCGCGGTACTAAAATACACCCGATATTTTGTAGCAGCAACACATTCCGTGTAGTCGAAGGGTCCTTTTGAGTGGCCGGCAGCATACCGACTTGCGAGTTAGATGGGTTTTCAGTATCATTCTCATCTCTGACTTTTCTGAACGGATCCGTCTGCACGAACTCGCTGTAATCGCTTGGGAGTCCTGTTTTTAAAATGCAAATGAATGTGCTTTATGAAAAAATCAAGTATGAAATCAAATTCTAGATGATGCTCTGTCTACCCGGGTGTTCCAGAGAAGTCTTTGAGATGCATCGCTTTATTCTGGCTATGCCGGCTGGCTCCAACCGTGATTATCGAAAATGCTGCGTTGTCCACAACACGCGTAGCACTCCGGATGTGTTCGTTTTTGTTTCCTTTCCGCTATTGCTTGTGCCTGCTGCCTTCCACATACATATTGGCCGTACGCCAGAGTTTGACCGGTTCTAACCTGTAGAGAGAATTTACAGCCCACAAGAGGATTACATCCGATCGGGATCGGAGCCGATTGGCGTTTTTCTCCTTTCCTTCTTTGTCCGCTGTTATGCTGCATTAATGCCTGCGGTTGAAAGATGCGTATCTCGGTCACATGTTGGCTCTCTTAGCCTTTTTGTGCCCAAATCACACGGGATGAATGTCACGCGGTACTGCACGCGTCGGTGCGGTGGCGATGACCGTGCACGTCAGGTGTGACCGCGGCCCCCATGAGGTGATCCGCACGGGGCTCGGCGGCTCTGGCGCGCTCCTCTGCCTGCCGCGTCAGGGGTGGCCGCGACCCCATGAGGTGATCCGCACGGGGCTCGGCGGCTCTGACGCGCTCCTCTGCCTGCCGCGTCAGGGGTGACCGCGGCCCCATGAGGTGATCCGCACGGGGCTCGGCGGCTCTGACGCGCTCCTCTGCCTGCCGCGTCAGGGGTGACCGCGGCCCCATGAGGTGATCCGCACGGGGCTCGGCGGCTCTGACGCGCTCCTCTGCCTGCCGCGTCAGGGGTGACCGCGGCCCCATGAGGTGATCCGCACGGGGCTCGGCGGCTCTGACGCGCCCCTCTGCCTGCCGCGCCAGGGGTGACCGCGGCCCCATGAGGTGATCCGCACGGGGCACGGCGGCCCTGACGCGCTCCTCTGCCTGCCGCGCAGGAGCATTCACCGCGCTCTGTGGCGCTGGAGGGACGGCAGCCGACCCATGCAGACCGAGTACTACGTCACGCCCGACTACGGCATCGACGCCAACACGTCCTTCGACTTGGCAAGCCTGGTGGTCTTCACGGACGCGCGTGTCTACTCCGCACCGGGCACAGGTCAGGGAGGAGTCCGTATCGGGCACAGGTTTGGGAAGAACCCGCACCGGGCACAGATCAGGGACGAGCCCATACCAGACGCAGGTCGGGGGAGTTCGCTCCGGCTCCGAACTCCGGCTCCGCTCCGGAGTTCCCATGTCAGGGAAGCGTCAATGTGGGCACAGGTCGGGGCTTTCTCACCGTACACATCCCAGGAGAACTACGTCCCGGGCTCCGGTAGGTGAGAATCTTTGCCGGGAACAGGTCGGCCGATCATATGCCACGCGAGCACACATCTGCCACAGCGCTCTGTGCCGTCCTGTGACGGCATCGTGTGCCATCCCTGTGACAGCCACATGTGGCGTCCCTGTAACGGCGCTCTGTATCCCCCCTGTGACGGCATCGTGTGCCGCCCCTGTGACAGCCGCATGTGCCGCCCCTGTAACGGCGCTCTGTACCTCCCCTGTGACGGCATCGTGTGCCGTCCCTATGGCAGCCACATGTGCCGCCCCTGTGACGGCGCCTTGCTCGGCTGTCGCCAGAGTGTGGGGAGGGCGAGCTGCGCTGCCTCATTCGCGGCTGCTACAACGCCACCAAGAGCTGTGATGGCGTCAACGACTGCCCAGACGGGGCGGATGAGGCCGGATGTGAGTGCCCCTCCCCACCCGCCGCAGCAGCAGCAGCAGCGGTGGCTACGTCCCAGCGCGCTCGAACCGCCCCCCCCCCCCCCCTTCTTCTAGCGCCGGGTTCATTGGTGCTGCACTGGAGTCAGATAATAATGTGTTCATCCGGATATGGGTATAGATCCGGCCTGGATGGGGATGGTCGTCGGGCTGCCCATGGGTAGCTGTGACTGCCGCTATCGCTGCATTGGTCCACACGATCACGTCAGCTGCCACCCGTGAGCAGGAGAGGTTTGTGGTGCTCGCTCGTGACGGCATCGCTCGCGCTGGGGAATGATCTGTTACTACACCAGGCGCTGGACATCGAGCTTCCCGCGTCAAACTCGTCGCTGGTTCCAACCCTAGCACGCATCCGCCACTGACGTGGAACGAATAGCACCACTGCTGGGCGAGGCTGCCACCACGGGAGCTCACTGGCGGGCGGGCCCGATCCCACACCAGCGCCGTGAACGCCGTGCTGTTGCGGCACAGGCTGGTCGGACGTCAGTAACGAGGAGTCTGAACGGCGCTTTCGGCTGAGACGACGCTCCACCTTCAATGACATTTTCGACATAGGAGACGGAGACTGGGCGTGGCTGCTGAAAAACATCGGTGAGAACACGTCATTCGAAGACTTCAGGATTGTACTCAAAGTTTTGGACGGAAGTTTAGAGTAATGTGATACAGGTATTGTGTGCGGCTCAGCGCCCATGGTGTGCCAAGGTGACAAAAGTTCCAGTGTTGAATGGTGTCTTCATAAAAAGTCTGAATGACCGTGTTACCTGACGCTGTATCCCCTATTTCATGACTATCTTTACGACCATGTGTGACTCATTATCGAATATCATATTTTATTGTACTCACTGGATGATCTTGTAACCCGATGTCGGTCGCAGGACACGAAGGAGGCGAGCAACAGGTTCTGGACGTTCCGGAAACCAATGATGATTGGTACATCAACGGCTTCAGCATTAGCCAAAAGGATGGCTTTGGTCTGGTGGAGGAACCTTTGCATGTGAGCATTTTTGCGAGCGCTGCAAGAGCAACATGCAACAATTCTCGGCCAAGTTTTGCGCTGACTCGGTTGATGATGTTGAAGCAAGTGACTGATGTAAACAGCGTCCTTGTTTCTCTTGTTCTGGCGACATTCGAGTTTGACGCTGCTGACACTCGTTTCATTCATCACCCAGTTGCGATATATGATGCGTTGAGAGTTCTGAGCTCTCGTCTGTCATGCCTGGGTTTTTATTGACGTGAAATTCATGACGCGCTCAGCTGCTGAGACTAAATAGCGTCGCCTGTCCCCCATCCTCGCAGAAATGGTGGGTACCGCGGGGAATCGAACCCTGACCTCTAGTTTGCCAGATGCGCAGCTTCGCCACCACACTGTCGGTACCCTTATCCCCGAGCTTGATGATTCCGCTCTATGCTGCCTGATCCAAAGATGACAGCCGTCTCACGTCTGTCTCAGTACGTCAGTAACCGACCGTTCTACATGACGATGGAGCTGGTATCGCAAATTCGGCGCGGTGAGACCATCTCGGCGCGCCTGCTGCTGGTCAACAACCAGCAGATCGAGGTGCTGGCGCTGGTCGTCCTGCCCAGCAGCCCTAACTACGAGTGAGAATGGATCAGCGACTCAGCAGCTCGGAGAGCATTGGACATTCCTCCTCAGTACACGGCTTCAGATCCCTGGACAGAACCGGGCGGCCAGGTGATGGGAGAGGTGTAGTCTGCCAGTGACTGGTTTTTCCTAAGGGCGAGACTGTGTCTCGTTGCCACCTGTCCACTTTTTGTGGCCTGAATCTTGTGTGTCCTAGGGCGTCCGCCATCTGGTCTCTGGACGCACTCTGCGAAAGCTGCGGAGCGTTCATCGCGTCGCCTATCCCCTCCCCCTAGTAAGAAGGGCAAATACCGCAGGGAATCGAACCCCGTACGTCTGGCTTCCCACGCGTGCAACTTTGCCACTACGCCACCGGTACCCCCGTCCTATCGCGTGCAAAGGCTTGCAGTATACCATTTGTGACAGCCAATGCTCCATTAGACCCGCCAGAACTTGTGCTGTCTACCGAGTGGCCTCTGATAGGCCATGGGACCAAACCCGGGCAGAGAATCGGCTCCAATAGACCCACCAGAACTTGTGCTGTCTACCGACTGGCCTCTGGTGGGCCATGGGACCAAACCCGGGCAGAGAATCGGCTCCAATAGTGGTGGGTGGAGCGACTCGACCAACCAGAGTGGCTGATCGACTCGACACGCCTGGGTGCAGCGTGCTGCACGGCGGAAACTTGGACTGATGCATTCTCATATAGCGGATTAGACAGCTTGGCTTCCAATCATATTGTGGTGAGGGATAATGCATTTCGTCATTCAGCCAGAGAGCTTTGCGTGAGGCAGCTGCTCGTAAAGACACTTTTAAACGTCGCTGCGCTGCTGTTCATTTCCACGCACATGCGGAACTATTATGTGGTAGCATGCTAGCTGGCATTAGTACGTTGCATAGTAGCCATGCACTAGCGGTTGGAACATGAAGTAAATCATAAGGCAGCGAGGAAAGATGGCCCATGTGGAATTATGCTGTTTTTCGTTTTAGGTTCGTGCACGTAGAGCAGCACGGTGTGATCTCCCACAAGAACGTGCGCACGTCTTCCGGGGACCACCAGCACCTGGTGCCGGTATGAGAAGCTCTCAAAACCCCCGTTCCATAATTCGAACGTGCAGTCGCTCTCTTTCTTTCTCTCCCCTCTCTCTCTCTTTCTCTCTCTCCCACGACTCACTCTTCTCGCTCTACAGCATCTCTCTCTCGTCTATCTCTCTCTAGTAGATAGGCTCTTATCCTCTCTCTATCCCTCTCTATCGAGATCGAGCTATCCTCTCTCTCGCCGATCTCTCTCTCTATCTCTCTCTTCTCTCTCTTCTCTCTTCTTCTCTCTCTCTCTTCTATCTCTCTCATCATCTCTCTCTCTCTTTCTCTCTCTCTCTCTCATTCCTCTCCCCTCTGTGTCTGTCTCTTTGTTTCTGTCCTCTGTACACTGCGGAGTGAAGGTACCATGCACCATGCTTACACCTCATCACTGCTTGGAATGCCTTGGTTAGATCTGATATCGCGCAGCACTAAACTAATGTAAAAACGATGTGTCATTGCTCGTTGCGTGCGGCTTCCAGCTGGTTTTCATGATGTCAACGCCTGTTTTCTTTGTTTCGTCCACTGAATTTCGGGGACAGCCCACATTAACACACGTTCGGGTGAGGGTCATTTTGACACCCCCTGAGATCTCAGAAACTAAGGGAGCTAGAGACCAAATTCACATGGTTAATTTTCCTGCATATTAATTCACTGATGTCAATATCTGAGGTTCCTAGGTCATCACCTTGAAGTAAAATAAGGTCAAAAGTCGATCTCCAGATTGGTGTCAAAAATGCCACCATACCTCCTCATGCAACTACCGTGAACCTGGATATCGTTTAAAGAAAAAGGTCACTGGTGCTCTTGTAAGGTCAATGACCTTGTTTGACTAATATTTTGTATTTGAGTAGGCGGCAAGGATTATGCCAGGCGGTACGTTTGTTAAGCAAAAGGCTGACCTGGGCCACTTTAGGTCAGTGACTATTCTGAACTTTAAAACGCCCATGAAAAATGTCTGATGAAGTCCCTGCTATTAGTAAATTCACGATGAGCACCAGGAATCACCTCATATAGCAAGCTCTCGAGCAAAAAAGCATGTTTGTTTTGACCTCAGTTTGATCTTTATACCGGATCTTAGACCAACGGAATTTCCTGTAAACCTAAAAATTTCATACTTCTGTTACCTAATAAACTATCTCAGAGATGCATGGTTTCGTCTAGCACCTTGTTTCGCATCTGATCGAACGATACCCTAGAAATCGCCTTGGCTCACAGCCACGGCCTATCGTTGACATGCCATAGGTCAGTGACCTCACGTGGTGAATCTAAATTTATGAAAGCAAAAGATTCACTATTTCATTGCCTACAACTGCGCAAAATTTTGCGCCGCTACACCGCAACATTTGGAAATCATTTTGGAAAAACTTTCAGGGTCTCAAATTGACACCCACCCGAGCGCGTGTCAAACGACTTTTCCCGCAGTCCACGCGGGTGCAGGTGTTGCGAAAGGAGGCTCTCACCTTGAACCCGCGACCTCAGTCCCGTCGGCCGTGTGGCGGCTCCCCAGGTGCCCGCCGAGGGTAGTGTCGAGGTGACGGTGCCGATCAAGCCGCTGGTGGAACTGAGCTAGCTCGAGGTCACACTCAGGTGACTGTCGGCTGTGTGACGGCTCCCCAGGTGTCGGCCGAGGGTAGTGTCGAGGTGACGGTGCCGATCAAGCCGCTGGTGGAGCTGGGCGACCTCGAGGTCACACTCAAGTGCATTACCCAGTTTGGCCTGGATGTGGAGTCTGCCACGGTGTCAGTTCAGGTCAGTGCATCATTCTCGGCTCCGCATCCCTTCAGCCCGTGCTCAAGTGAGTGCGGACCGTGCATTGCGTGGTGCTAGAATATGTGTTGCTATTTCTATCGCTCGTATGTTCCAGATATATGGATATTTGCTTCGTAAATTTTACGTCTATTTCACCATGGTTAGTTTACTTATTTGAAACCTGAATCACCGTCAAACTACACAAAATCGACACCGAGTGCAATTGCCTGGAAATAATATCTTAGTATTCAGTGTGTTAGCCCAATCGCGAAAAATAACGTTGCAGAATGTGGCCTTGTGGGTTTTAGTTTCTTTGTTTTTTTGCAAGTGTTTTTTGCGATACACGACGAACAAATGCCATTCAACAGCACGTTGACCCGCATGTCACAAATTCTTACATATTTCGCCTTATTTGCGCATAGGCGAGCACCCGCGAGGCGGTACTATAAATCGTCGCCACTCGAACCGCAGGAAGGGAGCGTCGTTAGAACGGATGGGACCTCTCAAGTGTCACTGCCGTCACCTCATCACTCATTAGTTCATTTGCAACAGTGTAACAGTGTCCAGTGTTATCGTATCCTCACAACGGCCGTGCTATCGCGATAGGTAGGTTTCCGTCCAGCAATTAATCGCTTGTCGCTTCACGACGAACAAGGCAATTCCAGGTGCACAATTACGTCAAAACCTTGCTTTGCCTGTAACCATGGAAACAGCGCTGTCGTTAAGCATTTGTGTATTAGCAACGCGCATAGTGTGTATGCGGTCTTGAATATTCGATGATTTTGAGTGTCTCGAGCTTTGTGACATGGAATATATGCGCTTGCGGACATGAACAACTGGCTGAATTGCCTTTAATGCCAGCCGCTGTTTGTCTTCTATGTTTCCAGTCGCTATGAATGATTTTGTATGTTTATCATGTGTCTATGGATGTTTTGCCCTCCGTCTTCAGATGGAACATCCACCCTTATAAAAAATTATTTGGGACATTTTTGCCTATTATACCTTACTTTCAGTTGCACCTGTTCGGCATTTTTTTTAGAGACCACCTCTGCCTCAACACTAAGCGTATTCAGGAGCACATGTCACATGCATGGTGCAGTTTGGTGATATTCGGTGCGAGGGATTCTTCGGCCGGCGCCGTTATATGGTACAAGTTCTCAGTGGTTTAAACCAACCATTTGTGTCTATCTGGAGAGCCAAATGGGCATTGGGCCTAAGCAAATTGGTGGTTGCTTGGAAGGAGCGACATGAGCAACCAGTTGCTCTGCCCCGCGCAAGGGCTGCCATTGCCGTCAGTCGCGGGCGCTGGCGGCGGCTTTCGTTCACGGACGTGCGCGGGTGACCACCGCTTTGGCTGCGGCTCCGGCAGGCTGAGGGCGTCCAGACCGGAGGTCACACGTCCTTCCTGCTGGACCTGAAGAACCGCGCCGTCGACCACAAGTTCCTCAACATAATGACGGAGCAGTCACCCGAGGTGCCGTACGCCACCTGGCGTCGCTTCGTCTACGGCAGCGTGCAGGGCTCGGTCATGGTGTCAGGTCAGCGCACGAGGCCGTGTCAGCGGTCGGCGGTCGACAGTGCGGAGGGCTCGGTCGTGGCGTTAGGTCAGCGCACGAGGCCTTGTCAGCGGGCGGTGGTCGACAGTGTGGAGGGCTCGGTCGTGGCGTTAGGTCAGTGCACGAGGCCGTGTCGGCGGTCGGCGGTCGGCAGTGCGTGGGCCTCGGTCATGGTGTCAGGTCGACGCACAGGGTCGTGTCGGCGGTCGGCGGTCGGCAGTGCGTGGGCCTCGGTCATGGTGTCAGGTCGACGCACAGGGTCGTGTCGGCGGTCGGCGGTCGGCAGTGCGTGGGCCTCGGTCATGGTGTCAGGTCGACGCACATGGTCGTGTCGGCGAACGATGGTACAGACGTCGAACGGCGCTAGTTATCAGTATTCGTACTCGGACCTGATCAATGCGTACAGAACAGAGCAACGTGATACAATTGCATGGCTTCTAAGAGCATCAAGGCCAATGGTTGAACACTTGATGGTGTTGGTGCTTGATGGGCTCCTGGATCTCCAGGAGCACTGGCACTGGTGCCCTTGGTGCGCCCTCGTTGCTGCGGATGAACTTGTCCGCCGGGGTCGCCAACAGTTGTCTGTCACTCACTCAACTCTGCTTGCTTGCAATGACCGGAGCTCTTGATGTCTGACACACTGCAGCACCGTATCTATCGATATTACATGTTAACTATATAGAGATTCATCAACTTCGCACATCAACACTGTATCTTGAAGACGACAACCCCATAATCTACATTACTGCGTCAATTGCGCTGATATCAGCGGGTGATCCGAGTTAAATGTGGAAGCTGTAGAAGAGACGCCTTTCCATAGCAAGCTGGGTTACTTTCTGACTTTCTTTCGGCAGCGCACTCGGGCTCATGCTGCATATCACACGCATGCCAATTGCATTATGGCGTATGGGTGTTGTGACTATTCCTAACCTATGACTTTAACAGCGACCATGCGTGGGGTAAAGCGAATAGATGATACAACCGTCCGAAAGATGTTGAGCCGGACGTCTACTTTGTGTCACACCAGCGCATGTTGCGCCATGCCGGTGTGAATCCAGCTTGTCTTGCTGGCAGGCGATGTGATCGGCCCAATCTTCCCTGAGAGCTTCATGACTAGCAGTTCCGTGTTCGGCAAGCCACTCAAGTGTCTGGACGGCACCGTCTTCAATCTGGCCTACAACGCCTGGTCGCTGCACTACATGCGGCTGACCAACCAGCTGACGCGAGCCTTCCTGCGTAGCGTGCTGGAGAAGATGAACGTGCAGTTCATCCTGATCATGAAGCGGTACAGACGCGGACCCTTCCTCTTCTACGACGGCGGGCGGCCCAGCGTCTGGTGAGCGGTGGCGAGATGGGACGGTCGGCTCAGAGTCGCGGCGTGGGCGAGTTTTGATGTGGTGGGCCATCTCTTGACTGAAAGCGTGAGCAGGATGCGCCCCCAAAGACGCACGGGTCAGGCACGCTGGCATTTATCGCTTGTGTCTTCCGCTTGAATGTTGATGGCTGCCTCTAAAGATACCACACCATGCGTAACTCCTCCCGGATTTTACGACTGTAATGGCTGGAATGTGACCTATTTCAAGTGATATGTCACCTTTTTATCGGTGCCAACGACCTTCAAACGCATGCGACTTTATCCAGTGAGCTGCCTCGTGCTGATCGTGCTGACTGCTCGATAACACGTTCAGTACTTTGTAAAGGACCCCCCCCCCCTACCCCACAAAGAATGAAGGGCACTATGAGTGCCTTGCCACCTGTGCACCAATCGTGGTTCGGTGCAACAGTGCGTATCTGGACAACACGCAGCGCACATCATTCTTCGGCCGCGTCCGGCAGGGGGACAGCGTGGGCGGTGCGGCAGCTGCAGTACTCCCAGTTCCAGGACTGGGAGAACTACTTGTACGTGGAGCCGCGCATTCTCTCCGAAGCCGCCGAGTGGCTCTGCCTCTTCCAGAACGCCGACGGCTCTTTCAACGAGACCAAGTGGTACGTGTACCCGCTCGACCAGAAGATGGACCCGCGCTCCAAGATCCCCGGCGAGGGTGACCGGAAGCGGCGGGTGCCGCTCACAGCTCACGTGCTTATCACGCTGCACGCCGTCCAGGAGAAGCTGCAGGGCGGCGCCAAGGCGTCCGTGGCCACCGCCAAGATCCGCGCCATGCAGTACCTCGAGCGCAGCCTGAGCGTGTTGACCGACGCGTACGAGGTCGCCATCACGGCCTACGCGCTCACGCTGTGCAACAGCGTCGACCGAGAGGTGGCGTTCAGCAAGCTGCACGTGGCGCGCCGCGAGGTGGAGGGCATGTACTACTGGGCGCGAGCGCCGCTGGCGACCCTGGATGTCAGCCGCGATGTGAACCAACGGCCTTACCTGGAGCCCAAGAGTGAGACGCTGTGGGACGCGCAGGGCGTGGAGGCCACCTCGTACGCGCTGCTCGTGTACCTGCTGCGCGACGGCGTCGGCATCGACCAGGAGAAGATGGTGCTGTGGCTGAACAGTATGCGCCAGTACAACGGCGCCTGGATCTCCACGGTGGTGAGTATACCTGGGACTGGGCTGTGGCTCGCTGGTGCTGTGACTGGCTGAACAGTATGCGCCAGTACAACGGCGCCTGGATCTCTGCAGTGGTGGATATGCCTGGGACCGGGCTGTGGCTCGCTGATGCTGTGAAACTAGTGACATCAGACGACCACATCCTAATGCTAAATGTTGTTTAAGCGTCGTTCACAGGTTCTGGCTGGTTATTTTGTCGGGAGCTGCGATGCTAGCTGCCACACTGCTCTTGGCTGATATTTCCATGTCTTGGATGCGCAGTGCATGGAGCTTCGACCCCGCGAACGAAAGATCCGTGACCCCGCTGCCCACCATCCGGGCTGACCCAGCTCAACCCATCTGGCACGCCGGGCTGGCTGAGCTCCCGCGGCCAGTGTACCATGTAGCAATGGACCGGTGCACCACTGTACCAATGCACCAGCGCACCAGGATACCAGTGCACCGGTGTACCAGTGCACCAATGTACCAGTATTCCAATGTACCAGTGTACCAGCCCGGGCGCGCGCCGCTGCCGCCAGGACACGATCGTGGCCATGCAGGCGCTGACCGAGTACTCGTTCCGCGCCCGGCTGCGTGACATCACCGACATGCAGGTCACTATCGAGTCGTCCGGCCTGCGCGACTTCCAGCGGGTGGTGCAGATCGGCAACACCACCGCCGGCCAAGTCCGCACCGTCGACGTGAGTGCCGCACGCAGCCAGACCTGACCGGGTTCCACCACGCGATGGTGCTGATCGTGTTGGTGGCATGGTGGCGGTGAAGGCGATATTAGGATTTTGCGACCCGTTGACTTCCGTGTCTGTGAGGAGCACTCAGTCAGCACTCAGCCGGCATGTGTGTCGCCGGGCGTACGTGCGGCTCAGGAGTGACGCAGACTCTACTGCAGACTGGCGCCCAAATCTGCTCCGCGGGGTACTGGCTCTGAATCCTATCGCAGGGAATCGGTTCAGCCTTTGGCCCGGGGGACTCTGTGCACAGGCGGCTGGGTCGGCTAGGCTGTGTCCGTGACCGCTGGCCGTCTCCAGCTGCCGAACGTCTGGGGCCACGTCAACGTGGTGGGCACGGGCGCCGGCCAGGCTGTGGTCCAGCTGGACGTGTCTTACGGCTTCGACCGCGAGAACCTCAAGGACACGCCGCCCGTCAAGTCGTTCGAGCTGCTGGTCCGCGAGAACGCAGTCCAGGAGGCGCGCAACAAGTCCATCATCCACGTGGAGGCGTGCTACAGGTCGGTGAGGAAAACAGGGACTGAATCTGGCAGTTTGGACCCATTCGATTCATCGCTTTCGTGACGAAATGGGCATTTGCGACTGGGTTGGATGTCTTAATTTGTGTGCGCTGTTGTGGTAACGTAGGAGGTCACTGGGCACACGGGGTTGAAATCGTCACTCCAATCCTTTACAGGCGCGTTTTGCACATTTTCGCCAGTAAGTGTCACTTACCAAACTAGAAATGAAGTCCGGACAGCTGCCGGACGCGGCTGCCTCAACCGGGCGACATAAGACCGTATACCGCACAGAGCAAGCGTCAGCAGTGACGAGCGAAAACCGGCCAACCAACCCGGTCAGCACGCCGCCCGCCCAAACATCCCCATTCCCCCTGTGTGGAGCAACGGCGCGGCCCGCCGCAGATGGATGCACACGGAGGAGTCGGACGTGAGTGGAACCACCATTCTGGAAGTAGAGCTGCCCAGCGGCTACCGGATTGACCAGCACGTGGCCAACGCTGACGTGCGGCGCAACAAGCGCAACCCCAACAACACTCTGATGAGCGCCAAGTCCGACACAGACAAGGTCTACTGGTACATTGACCGGGTACGTATGCGGCGCGTGCTGTCTGCAGGACCTCGCGAACCCCGGGGTCTGTTTAGTAAAACGTTGCTAAGTCATATTTACGTGTCTGTAGTTCAGCGCAGCTTGTCCCCGTGCATCCGGTGAGCGAAGTCGTTATGATGCATCAGTAAGCCGCGCGAAATGTCGCGAGCCGTGGCGGAGCAGTGGATGGTAGACTGAACTATGCAGGGAACACTGCGATGGCGCCTGGGTACAGCGGATCTGAGGGACCAACAGTCAGGAAGAGACCATTGTTTGGAGTATCGCCCTCGGCTTCGTCGCGCCGCAGCGTCGTGTGAATACTAACGCACTAGAGGAGGATCATGGTCTTAATAAGTAGAAGGCAGGCAATCGCAATGCTGCCACCTCTTCCCAATCATGCCGTAAAGCTGTGGCCAACAGTTATTTAGAAGGAACGGACGGCTAGCCTGCAAAATTCAGTGCTGGACGCTGTGTCTGGTCTCGGTGTAAACAGCCTTCAGAGCGCAGCAGACAGGCAGCTTTGACACAGGCTGGTTTGCTTGTTCCCAAAGCAGCGTGGATCTAGAAATGTCACGGTGCTTGCTGCCCAATTAACTTTGAAATTTTTAAGCTCAGTTAACTTAGCTTCGTTTCAGTTCGGATCAGTGCATGATGGGCTATGTTGACGCTCTGAACACATCAGCAGACGCCCGTAGTCGAGTGTTTTTGGTAGGGCATGGCGCATTACCGCTTTCGTGGTAATACCCAGCCCAATTTGCGGGATGTGAAGCACAGTACACGACGTCTACAAGCCGACGCACCAGCTGACTCCCTGTGTACACAACATGGATGCCAACACTGAGCCGCATCTTTGCCTCTCCCGCGCAGGTATACAGCAACTTCACGCAGTGCTTCAACTGGACGATCTACCGCCGCTATCTGGTGGCCAACTACACGGCGTACCGCTCGGCGCGCATGTACGAGTATTTTGCGCCGGAGCGGTTCGAGATGCAGATCTTGAACTCCACGGAACTGAATGTGGTCGACGTGTGTCAGGTGTGCGGCTCGTACCAGTGCCCGTACTGCCCTTGGTATAGTGGCGCCGCTGCACGGGTTCCAGGCGCACTAGTGGTGGCGCTGGCCGTGCACCAGGTGGCCATACTGGCGCTGGACCTGACCTAGCGGCGTTGGCCGGGCGTGGCATGGTGCAATGAGAACAGCCAGAAAGCAGGTGTGCCATAATGATGATCCTTCAAGTATGACAGTTGTCGCAATATGCCGCATATTTGTAAATGCTTGATGTGATACGTATGCGAGAATACTGCTCACTAGAAGCTAGTTTTGTTTGTTGCGGCGATGGCCTGTGACGTTCGACCGTTTGCTCAGGTATATTTCCTCAATCCGGGACCTCTTGGTGGTTGGCCGAGCACGCTCATAAAGGGAAGCATGGAGTGCCTTTCAGTAACTCTGCAACGGTTGGTCGCAGTGAAATGTGGCAGTCTTAGGCACTGAAAGATTTGGCGTTCGTCCGTGGAATGTAATTGGTGACAAGGTCTGAGGTACTGTCGAGGAGAGAGTGGAATGTAGTTGGTGACAAGGTCTGAGGTACTGTCGAGGAGAGAGTGGAATGTAGTTGGCGACAAGGTACTGTCGAGGAGAGAGTGGAATGTAGTTGGCGACAAGGTCTGAGGTACTGTCGAGGAGAGAGTGGAATGTAGTTGGTGACAAGGTCTGAGGTAATGTCGAGGCGAGAACGTAGGTGTTGGTGCATTTTCTGTACTGTTCCGCATCTTTATGCAGTGTCGCATGGTTTGGTATCATCAGAAAACGGAATTTTTGCCCTCGTTTGACGATGAAAACGGACGAACAAGAAAGACATGGGCACCGATAAATTGATCCGTTGTATATCCGTGTCTTTACTCACTGATAATCGCCGAGAAATGACTTCGGACTATGCTCCGTGCCGGTTTTAGCCGGTGTATAATCGCCGCCATCGTCGTTCTCGGACATGAATTTCAAGCATCACAACACTAGGTCAATGTGTGTCTGTATTAGTCATCGCCCTTGTGTTTGAACTCGGCTGCGTTGAATGTCACGGTGCTATTTAAAGTTTAAGTCTGAGTTGCTGATGCCAACTGGTTGGGGACCAAGGGTGGTTTTCATTTCAGGTTACGATCGGCGCCGGCAGAGTTAGGAAGCGCTCAACGACTGCTCCAGCCGGAAATCCCGCTCATGGTTATGGTCAGTGCACCGTCTCATCAGCACACAAAATCCAACAGGAGGTTTGCCGGGTGTACATTTCCCGCCGGCTATTGCATCGTATATTAGTGGGTTTGTGTATGTAGCAAATTATAATCATCGACATCCATGTGGTTGAAAGCAAAGTTGATTGGAGACGGGCAAAAAACTGCCGCCCTCAATTCAACTCCAATTAATCTGGCGCCTTAACCATGCAACAGCAAGAGTTCAGATCTGGTAATGGGAGCTAGCTGTTTAAGATGATCTGTGTGATTTCACAAAGACAGGATGAAACTGCTCTGCAGTTGTCCATTGACTCGAGCCATCCAGAGAAAAGTTGGAATCTTCCCTCCCTCAGAAGGGAAACAAAAGACGCTGACTCATATTCCGTTGGCCCGCTGCGCCTACAGATTATGGCAAAGGCCGTGGCGCAGATCAGTTTTTATGTCGTGTATGAAGACGTCCGCGAACGTACTAACGGTACGGTTTACGGCTGGTAACAGCAACAGCCAGCAGCATGAAGGGACGCGTGGTGCCAGATCCCACAGGTCGTACACAAGCCTGGAAACCGGTCGAGATAGGTCGAGGTGCCACTGGACACCGGGCTGGCTTGTCACCAACACGTCCAGGTTTATGTCCACCAGAAGACGCATCGGGTGACCTTTGCCGACGGTATGTGCGAGTTGGTCTTGCAAGCCGTCCAGCGCGGGCTGTCGGTCCATTGGAAGGCCTGGAGATCACGCCGGCGGTCCTTCGTCGGCGCTGAGTGCAGTGAACTCTTAAGCCCTCCATACTGGAGCCTGATGTCGGGACATCAAGTGTCACTGTTTGTAGCGTGTCTCTGCAGATGACATCACCTCGGTAGATGATGAACACGCCAACGCCGTGAGTTCCAGGACCACGTCTAACGGTACGGCAGTCCGGCAAAAGCAGATATCTGGCGTCAACGACTGCAGTCAGCCAGGTCTCACTCAGGCACCTTATGTTGATGCCATGAGTTTATAAAAGCAGGCTTACTTCATCTAGAGACGGTGTCAGCGACCGGAGACTCAGACATCCCACTGTGATATGGGTGGCGGCGGCGGCGGCTGGTCTTTGCACTGCAGGTACGCGGGCAGCAGCGGTCGCACACAGACGGCCGAACAGCCACCAGTAAAGCAGGCAGCACCAGGATACATAAATACTCCTGGCGTTTACAAACCCAAGCAAATGATTTTGGTTCTGGAGCTCGCGGCTGAACGGGTCATATGACGCCAAATGCGAAACGGATACATGCATGATACAAAGGTAAAGGGTCTGAGAGGGCGTCCATCTGCTTATCAATAGGCGCAGGAAACATACACAAAGTAGACCCAAAAAGTTTGGAACTGAAATTAGGGAGCGTAAAAATAGACAACCACGAGCAAGGCCGTGTGAACCAGTGGCAGCACGGAACAGCCCCCCCCCCCCCGTCCAGCCTGGAGGGTCCGTGGAAGGCCCAGTCCGATATGAGAAGGGCCCTACCATTCTGGATTATAAACGGATTGCGTAAGCCTGTAAAAGCCCACTCTGAGCTATGAAAGCTCATTCTGGTCTGAAGAGGAGCCATTCTGACCTGCAAAGAGCCCATTCTGGTCTGTACTGGGCTCTTTCTTGTCTGTTGATGGCCCATTTTCTTATGTGGAGAGCATATTATCGACTATGGAGGGCCTATCCTGGCCTGTAGAGGACTTATTCTGCCCTGTAAAGAGCCCATTCTGGCCTAACGAGGAATTATTCTGACCTCCACAAGCTCATTATGATCTCCAGTGCCTATTGGGTCCATCTAACATGTATTGGGTCCATCACCATTGACTGTGGAGGGCCTACTTCGCCCTGCAGCAGGAACGCAGCCAGAGCCTTGGCAAGGGGGCACAGGGTTGACAAAGGGCCCCTGATAGTAAAAGGACCCCCCAAAAAATCGTCGAATATGGCTCATTTGTTATTAACAACATATTTGTTTTAGACACCACATACATATATAATATATATATATATATATATATATATATATATATATATATATATATATATATACGCATGGATATATTACACATTTTTGCCATCTTTAACTGGAACATAAGCCAGACTCCACCGCGAGATCAAGTTTGCCTAACTTTACTGGTAAATAAAGTGACAATATCATGCATTAAATGACTGCGTAAAATAAGTTGCCGGCGCTGTTTATTTAATACTGGTTCGGTGCACTCTTTTTAAACCGATAGAGTTCAGAAGCTTCGTCAGAACCTTTATCTGCATTAATCCTTAATAGCAAGGATTCCACGAACGTCCGTTGAAGATCAAAATGGCTCGACAACCTGTATTAACAAAGTCAAACCATGTTTGTCTGGACATGTTCAACATTCAGTCAGAGCTGATAAGAGGAAAAAAACATAGCGTAGTTTTATGCATGCGCACCTGCATATGTTGGTAACAAAAAAAGTACTAAACGCCAGCCGTTGCAGTCTACTGAGGCCGCGCAGTGTCGGCCCCGCGGATAACACCGCGTTGTGTCCGACAGGTGAACGAAAATTGACAATTTTAAAAAAAACCCTTTTGAACGCTTTTGAACACCACATCGTGCATTAAAAGATATTCCGGGCGTACATTTCACCTGCGTGGTTTTTACATTGATAATAACGTATTGGTCTTTACAGCGCCGCGAAGTGGTGCTGGAATCTGGTGGTGGCATTGGAAGAGTAAAGGTGAAACCTCTATTTTCCTTGTTGCTGAAACTGTTTGTCTGTCCAGAGGACAACCTTAAAGCTTCAAAAGGTATTCGCCCAGTGTAATTTTTGAACTGTATGAATTTATTTTAAGAGACATTCAGAAGCATTATTTTGCTATGATCATTGTTGCACGCTCAACGTCCGTCCCCTGTATTGCTTGCAGTGGCCAACGCCGTTCGGTTTTACAAAAACTGCGCCCATAGCCATCGCTATCATTGCTCCCCGAGCATGCGGGCTTGTTATTGGGCCTTCATGATGCACTCAGCTGCTGGGGCTATATGGCACCGCCAGCCTATCACCCTGGCGGAAAGGGCGGGCACCGCAGGGAATCGAAACCCGTACCTGTGGTTTCCCAGACATGCAGTGGTTTACGCAGGCGCGTCAACCACTACATTATCGGTACCCGGCACGCAGGTTCAAACCTTTTGAGGGTACTTGTTCCACTAGCCGATTCTGCAAAATAATGAACGTTTGCAGGGAAACATGGGATGGCCTTGAGCATTCTGAGCTCATTTCGGTTCGCTCTATTCCACGCTCAGTTGACTCCGAATCGACGCATGAACCGTCATTAACGCAGCAACATCCCTGCTCGCCGCAGGTGGTCAACAACTTGGCACATAGACTCCAGTTGGGCTTAACGGGCCCGTGCCGGAATAGGGTTGGAAGGCCCACCCTTCGGCACTGCGGGCCCTGACTGGCACAGGACTCTTCCATTACCTCAACCGAGCACTCACCATAAACTCTTATGTTGCCTTCAATTGTGAAGTGGCCCGACCAACGCGAGAGGCCCTGTGCCATTCTGGCTCCCGTCACCGTCCTTGTTGAGCAAATATTTTCCTGCCCGATTCGAGGCCCCTTGTTGACGCAGAGTGACCATGCTCACTGCGGGCCCTTGAACGACACAGGAGCCCGACCAGCGTAAATCACGGGCCTGGCCTTGTTCCTGCTTGGGAAATGGGCCCCAGAGCTCAGACCAACACGAAGCCGTCTGTTCGTTGTTCGTGAATTCTGGCCGAAATAGAGGAACTTTCTGTGTCAGCGGTCCCTTTCGGTGCAAGAGATCATCTTACTGATATTTGAGATGACAGACCTATGGGAGGCAGTCCTTAATGTGACCTAGAGCCCTTCAGCCATCCTATCGGGTCCTCGATCTTTTTCGTCTCGAGGGACCTTTCGGTCCCTCTTCGGACCCCCTCAAATACCGCTCCGACCTAGGGCCACTTCCTGGAACTTGACCCCTGTGGGGCACGGTGGCCCCTAACCGACACAGGAGCCCCGCATTGTGTCAGGGACTCCGAACGTTGCAAATCGTGGACCCCGGCCTCTTTTTTGGTTGGGAAATTGGTCTCAAGGGCTCAGACGGACATGGAACCGACTATTCAGTTTCATGGTCTTTAACCCACTTAGACACCTGCAATGTCTCAGGGGTTCTCAAACGGTACAGTAGGACCTCTGGACCTCTGACCTCTGATATTTCGGATCAGGATCCTACAGGTCACGATTCTTTATGTGACCTAAAGCCAGTTCTTCTGGCCGTCGTGCCCTCCAACCGGGCCTTTGATCGTCGGTTCCAGTGGGCCGTCCGAGCCCATCCTCGGGCCTCATCGAAATTCCCCTCGATCGTCTCGGGGCCCTTGCGAGCACACGACCCTCTGTTAGGCGCTGTGGACCTCTCAAAGATACAAGGCTTCAGGCCAGTGTAAATCACTGGCCCCGGCTTTAAAGATGATTGGGAAGTGGGTCCTCAGGTCCATACCGACGCGGAGCCGACTATGTGATACTGTGGTACCTGACCGACACATAGGCTCATATCGACTCAGGAGTCCCCAATCGGCGCAAAAGCCCCCCTGACCGTTATTTGAGCGTCCGTATTCGCAGGTCGGGGCCCCTGAGTACAACTCCTACCATCGGTTTTTTGCGCTTAGACCCTCCAACCGGGCCCATGATTGTCGGACCCGGTGGGTCCTCCAGGTTCTTCGGGCGACCTCGAGCACTGCCTCTGGCCGACTCAGGGCCCGTTGACAACACAGCGTCCCTGTTAGGCGCTGTAGAGCCCCGAACAATGCAAGACACTGGCTCCGCCTTTGTCCCTGCTTAGGAAATGGGGCCTTAGACCCATGTAGCCACGGAGACGACTGCGCGTTACTGGTGGTGTCTGACCGAAACATGGGCCCTTATCGACTCAGCGGGCTCCTGATCAGCGCGCAAGGCCCTCTAACTGGCATTGGAGTGTCCGACCCTGCGGGCCGGGACCCCAGAATGACACCTCCAGCTGGCCATTCGGTCCTTCAATCGTAAGTTTTGAGGAGGCCCAAAGGGCATCTCCGAACCTAAAGGGGGAGCACGTGCCCCGATACCCCCTTGTCTGCGCTACTGTCCTGCAGAGGGCCCATTCTGACCCTGTTGGGACCATTTTCACCCGAAGAGGCTCCATTTTAACTGAATTGTTCGCATGCTTGACTGAAAAGGGCCAATTTTGGCCTGTTGAGGATTCATTCTGACTTATAGAGGATCCATTTTTTACTGTGAAGAGCCACACAAGCCCTTCACGTATAGAAAGTGGGCCTCTACAGGCCGGAATTCGCCCTATACTGGCCCATCCTGGGCTGTACAGGACGAATTCTTTCTTGCAGAGGTCCACTATCTAATCTTAGGGGTCCCGTTTGAGTATTTTGTAGTTCTCTCCCACCCGCCCTCCCCTAACAAACTTGAACACAGTTCCTGCGCCTCTGACCACGAGCTCAGCACATAGTTGCTAACTTTCCCAAATTTTCCCTTTGTCGAACGGAAAACGTCTAAATTTGGTAGCACCGTTGAGGACATTTAAGACGATTACCAACGAAAGCGGCAGAACCAGCGCAAAATAGCGCTCATTGATTGGAACCAAGAGTTGGTTGGCTGGGTGCTGGCGTGTTGTGTCGGTGGTGACAACGCCGATTCATTTTCATTTGGGTACCGTCTTGTGTTGTGTCAGTCTGCGAAGGGCTCAAGATGGCCAGAAGGTATGATTCGAGAACCACCATCTTTTCTCCAGAGGGGAGACTGTATCAAGTCGAGTATGCCATGGAAGCCATCGGTCACGCCGGCACATGCCTCGGGATCCGCACCCCAGAGGGAATCGTTCTTGCAGCAGAGAAAAGAAACATGAATAAGCTTCTGGATGAAGTGGTGTTCTCTGAGAAAATCTACAAGCTCCATGAAAACATGGCTTGTAGTGTTGCTGGGATCACTTCTGATGCAAATGTGCTGACAAATGAACTGCGGCTGATCTCTCAGCGATACCTTCTTCAGTATGGGGAGCCAATACCCTGTGAGCAGTTGGTTACCATGCTGTGTGACATCAAGCAGTCATATACCCAGTTTGGAGGCAAGCGGCCATTTGGTGTGTCAATCCTTTACATTGGGTGGGATAAGCATTATGGATACCAGCTGTATCAGTCGGATCCCAGCGGAAATTACAGTGGCTGGAAAGCAACATGCATCGGAAGCAACAGTGCTGCAGCAGTTTCCATCCTCAAGCAAGATTACAAAGAGGACATGTCAATCAAGGATGCCATTATGCTGGCAATGAAGGTGATGAGCAAGACCCTAGATGTCACCAAGCTGGCTGCTGACAAAATTGAGCTTGCTGTTCTGTCAAGGGATCAGGGAAAGACCAGTTTGAAGATTCTCCCAGAAGGGGAGGTGACAAGCTACATCACTGTTCATGAAAAGGAGGAAGCCAAGGCTGCAGAGAAGAAGAAAGAGAAGGAAAGCAAAACACCATCCACGTGAGAGCCTGGAAAAGGAAGTGTGCTGGGCTCAGGCAAGTGATTGTACACTCATTTGCCTCCTTGTTCAATGAAACTTGAATAAACATGAGATGTGATCATTGCATTTGAAATATTCAGGTGGTCAGATGGGAGAAGGGTTGCTCAGGCTACTCATAATCTCTTCTTGATTCATATTTTCCCCATTTTGTACTGAGATGCTAGACAAGCTTGATAAGCTGAATTGAATAAATCAGTGACCTTACCAAAGATGGCCAAGAAAGATGGAGATGCTTAATGGTAGTGCTGAAAAGCGATTTTTGGTCGCAGACCATATTGCAGCTCAAAAATGAAGTGATGCTTAGAAGTATCACAACACTGAAAAGTTCAGCAGAGATTCAAAACCACAAGCTGTATGGATCACACTGCCAGGTCTGGCACCCAACAGCATGCACCCACCATCTGACTCACCCTGGTTTGCTTGGCTTGTGTGACTGTTGCGAGAGGCAGGACTGATGTCAGAGATGTCAACTGAGAAGGCCTGCACCAATGGGTTGTGATTGTGGTGAGTATTTAACCAAGATAGGTGAGTATATAACCAATATAAATTGCTTTCACAGTAAAACTTTTGACAATTTAATCTATTGTATGGATCTGTATGTGCAGGTTCTTATATAAGCAAGAACAAAGCATTGTTAAGTGCATTATTAGTTGAAGGATTGAACAAGAGATTAGCATTTTAAGTTCAACAACCCTTGTATGATACCTTTGATGAAATGTTTTTAGGGACATTATAGTATCAGATTCCTCACTGAGCTCATTGCAGCATACCCACACATCATTGCATGATCCTTGTAGCCTGTTGTAGGGTGCCTGTTGGCCTCAATTATGTATTTCCACTGTGCCCCAGTTAACCAACAGGCATACCAGATCTGCTCTTAGATTTAGTGAAATAAATGAACAACATGTATCCAATGATGTCGCACACTCTGATGATGTATATATACAGGGTATATGCCCAGGACAGTATACCCTGGCCATGCTGGTAGAGGGACTTGTGGTATTACCGATCCGATTCTGGACAACCGCTTATGGAGGAAGCAATGGTATTCATCTAGGCTGACTGCAGAATATTTTAACTTCGCAGCAGGTTTATTTCGGGACTAAGAAAATATGACCATATCAGCAATGTTTTCTTGAGATCCCAAGTGGCATTCAGTAAAGAATGTGCTCGTGTACCATCACATCCCCTTTAAAGAACAACTGTGACGACATCCGAACACGAGTCACTCGCTCGTGGCGTTTCCTGACATGCGCTCATCATCGTGCCACTAGATGTTGTGATCGGCTCACGACTCCTCCTATACCCTCCTATCCATGCAATGGACCCTGCTCGTTTTAGGATCAAAGTCAGAAACCATATCATACGAAGACAGCAGGAACCGATCAGTGGCTATATACTCTGTTCATATTACCATATGTGGGAGCGTGCATGCTTTGTGCTGTTCACCGGCATTACCTACTTCGTCCGGCGTTCCATGCATGGTCTTGACACGAGGCCCAGAATAGCCATGCTGTGTGGAGTTGATTCACGATGCATGCAAACAACTGTGAATGCAATGATAAAGACGCGACGAAGGCGCATGATTTAGTCTGCACTTTATCATCGCATGATCATTTTGGGATCTTCGCTCACGCTAAGCATTGCTTGTTACGTGTCCTGTCGAGTCTACCCCACCATCCGGTCGGGAACCTCTAGGTCAACGGCAGAACTTTGTGGCGAAAGTTTAACGTACCTTAAGCACTTCGTTCGTAACACGGGTCCGGAAGGCCGGTCGATACCCTTCGCTCAGGTGGGTGGTCAATTTGACCCGTCCCCCTGAGATCTCAGGCAATAAGAGAGCTAGAGACACCAAACAGTGGTGTGTTGACCTGTACATGAACTCACTTAGGGTCAAATATGAAGTTCCTAGATAGTGACCTTCGGGTCAAATGAAGTCAAACAAGGCTAATCTCCAGGCTGGTTCCCTAAGTCCCCCAGAATATAGATGCCTATTCTAAGCACAAGGTCACATGATTACTTAAGGTAAGTGACCTTGTTTGACCTTTTAAAGGTCATGTTGATCAAAATAATACAAGATTGCATTGCGTTTTGCTTTTGAATAGGCAACAAAAATACACTAGGCAGCATGTTCCTTAAAGAAAATGTTGACCTGCACTTTTGCCGATTTAAGTCAGTGATCTATTCTGACCTTACAGAAGCTTATGAAAGATTTATAACGCGGTTGCCGGTTGTCAATAAATTTGAAAAGGGTACCAGAATCTGCCCCTTACAGCAAGCCCTAGTGCAACAAAGCAGGTTGGTTTTTACCTTTGTCTGACCTTCACACCTGACCCTAGGTCAATGTAATTTGTCCATTCAATTGTTCATCCAACACGCTGTTGTTGGATCGGATTGAACGATTCCCTATAAATTGACTTTGCTGAATCCATGGCTTGCGTTTGACCTACCGCAAGTCCGCATCCTCACAAGGTACATGTATTTTTACAACGATTTGCTATCCAATTGTCTACTGCTATGCAAAATTTGGCGCGGCTAAGCCGCGCTGTTCGGAAATCATTCCGGAAAAACCTGGGGTCAATTGCCCCCCACCAAAGTTGGTGACACATTCGTATTTGCTAAGTTAGCGACGCATTCGTATTCAAATTCAGCGTCGATTACCGATTCCGCTCAAAACGAGTTGTTTGTAAGGGCAAACACAACCCATTGATAACGAAAATAAGATTCATCTGCTATAGATCGAAAAAGATTTGCCGTGGACAAGTCAACAAACCAAGTAAGCACGCCGTGCCACCACTGTATGACACAGATGTCTTTAAATAAGATCTAACCTGAACGTCAAATACCAGTTCCAGCTTGGGATATCAAAATGACAAGCTTCAAAGTCGGCTGTTGCGGTAGAAGAGCGCAAAAAGCAAATCTTCAAGGTCACGGGACGGGTTAGCATTGCATTGCTGTAGTATATGGCAGATCTGTACAAAAAGGCGCCATTAGAAAGCCCGTTGTCGATGCCAGCCTGGATTTCTAAAAATGCCAATTTCAAAGGTAAAACGCAAGCCCAAATTCAAGGTCAAGGGACGAGATGGCGCAGGGCTGCCGGTGAACGGGACTAGTCGGTATAAATCAGCCAACATCAGAAAGCCGTTTTCGATTCCTGTCTGTGTCCCCCAAATATTACAACCAAGTGAAAGTGAAAAGTTAAGTTCAAATTAAAGGAGGTTTACGAATGGGGTAGCTCCGTATTGCCGGTGTATTGGACGGATTTGTGCGAATAAGGTGCCATTAGAAATCCCGCTGTCAATTCCAACCGAGATTCCAAAAAACACTAGAATCGAAGTTGAAACCCATGGCCAAATTCAAGGGATGGGGTAGCGTTACACTGCTGCTGTATGGACTGACCTGCATAAATGAGGCATGATCAGACATTTAGTTGCTGATTCCAGCCTGGGTTTCGATAAACGCCAGAGTTTAAGTGGAAATTCAAGGTCAAATTTGAGGTCCAGTGACGAGGCGAGCTTTCTAATGACACTTCATTTGTACAAATATGTTCCATACAGCGGCAGGTTGACACTGCCCGTTCTTTAGCCTTGATTGTTTAGCTTATTCACCACTTCAAAGGACATTGTAGTTTGACATTTTGACATTCCAGGCTGGAATCGACAACTGGCTTTCTAATGGTGCCTCATTTGTGCGAACCCGTCGTATAGACATTGTGACGTTACCCCGTCCCTTGACCGTGGAAATTTGTTTTGAAACCTGTTTACGACTACAAGCTGGACGTTCTTATATCTCCGGCTGGAATTAATGACTGACTTTCAGATCACATCTGATTTAAAGACAGCAATGTCATACAGCGGCAGTACGGCGTACTAACCTGGTTATTTGAGCCAAGCCATTCTGTTTGAGGAAGGGCAGTATGGACCTCATTTAGATTACCAACGGGTTGTTTTTGACCTGAAAACTCATTTGAACCGGACTCGGCACTCGACGCTGAACTCGAACACGAATACATCGCTACCTTGATTAGTGTCGCTGTCGCGGGGTGACCAAACGAAATAATTGTTCGTTGTTTTGGGCCGCCTTATTCTGGGAATCATTCTATGCGCACGCTGGCTGCAGCTCGCTATGCGCTGTCATGTGATTGAACAAAAAATATTTATGTCGTTCCATGAGTGACTTACTTTACCGGCCAAAAGTGCTCGCACAACGTCATCGTGTGGGCAAAACTGCGCCTTTGGTGCACAAGTCAAATAATTTCGACATGGACGCTGCATCTCTGCAAATCACCGCTTCACCCGGTTCTCAGGCATTGAGTGATACGCTGTCGGGGAGTCGACCGAATAAAATCGAAAACAAAATTCGACGAGTGCGTTGTACAGGTAGCTGATAGTCACATACCAGCGCTATGGAATGCACACACTCACAATATTTTATTCGATTATTCTGCTTTCCCGGGCCGCCGTATGATGGCCAGCACTCTACGGGCAGGCTGGCCGCAGTTAACTATAACCCGTCAAAGGCTGATTTGAACAGAAAAGGCCATGTCAGACGATGATCGATTTACCTTACCGACCGATAGTAATACTACAATGGCATCTTGTGGGCAATGTCGCAACTTCCGCACGCAAGAAAAGGCATTTCCAATTAAACGCCGTGCTTGTGCACATCGCTTCCTGCCGGGCTCAAAGTGTGTGGTGATAAGCTGTTGGGGTGTCGACGGAAGGAAATTGAAACCAAAATCCAACGAGTGTGTTGTACTGACGTTCGGTCGCCCTATACGAGCGCTATAGAATGAACACAGTGGTAATCTTCGGGTTCCATTATAATCCACACATTGTTATCAATCGTGTGTGCAAGGCTGCACGTTCTACGAACGAGGAAAGGTATTTCAAACTGGATGTCGTTTTTGTGCAAGTAACCGCTCTGGCCCGCCCGCAAACAGTGAGTGATACCCCATGTGTGAACGCACGAACGCGGGCACGCAAGCGCGTGCGCATGCCTATGCATTTGCGAATCCGCATGTATATGTTCATTTGAGCATGCAATCGTATAACTGTCGTTCTGTGCCGGCCGCTATGGATCATCGGACACATGCGATTGTCAGCATCAGGTACAGTACCTTTGCGATACGTGCCATAAGTATCAAAATCATGCGCTGGCTTCTAACGACAAGGTTGACATTGATGGTGCTGTGCACTTCCTCATCAATACATACATGAACAACCTCTGCCATGAACGCATGAACACGCAGCAGGTGTTTTAAGTTTTAAGGTTAGATTTAATTCGGTTATTAATTGTGTTATATATATGATAATTGTGTTATATAACTGTGTATAATTATGAATATAATTAATAAGGTGAAATAAAAAATAAACTAAGGGGGTTCAATTTCCTGCCATTGGAATGTTTGCAAAAGCCAGACACTGCCAACGATTGTTTGTTAAACAAGTACAACCGGAACTCAGAGTTCGTTCAAGAACCGGCCAGCAGATGGTGGAACCTTGCCATCTCTAAACGCCGCAGACATTAGCATGCTCTTGAGCGAGAACGTGACCACGATACATCAACGCGCTCCCAGTATACGCCTTTGGTGAATGTGCATACATCACAGGTGCGTACGAAATCACGACTGAATGCCAGCTGCACGACCAGAACTGCATCGCAGCCGCCATATCACGCAAATCCGTCAAGTTCTCGGGCGGGCAGCAATCACGGGGTGGGCGCTGACTGCGCTGCAATCCCAATCGACCGCGCCTTGATCGACAAGACTGTCAGATTTGAGAGCATCAGACGCGCCGGCGTCAAACTAGACGTTAAACGACGGCGAAGTGCTGGTCGTGGCTCATGTATACTCCGTGCTATATAGTGTTACCCTGGATGGCTACAAGCATGCATACCATGAGCCAGAGACTTTCCGACCGTCACTCTCTGCAGGAAACCTGCTCCATCGCCAACACCATGCTCAGCCATGACATTGCGCCCCAGGGCGCGGGCTAGGTCGCTGGGCTAGGTCGCGCCGCCAGTAAGTTAATTGGGCACTGGTTCAAACCCGGTCATCCACCCGCGTCCCGCGCTGCCTGACGGGGCATTGCCTGCAGCTCACTGGATCAGGCAGCAACAGCACAGGTCCGACGCCTCGTTGTCAGTCGTAGCCGCGTGGTCAGCATATCCCACGTCGACGTCGTGCGGCGTCTGGGCGCGAGGGTATCTCTGCTGGGCCCTGCGCGGCGTCTGCTCCCTGCTGAGCAGTGACGTCCTGCTGGCGACGGTTGACACGGTGGAGCTGACGTATACGTCTAACGGTTCCGGAGAACCGCGAGTCGGCCGGCTGCACGGCTCCGCTGCGGCCCAGGGGTCTTGGGAGAAGGGCGCCAAAGTGCTGGAGTTGATGTTCAGGGCAGATATTCGAGATGAGATCGAGTCGACCGACTTCGCGTCGCCACCGCGCCGCTCCGTTGACGTCGTTTCTGGCGACACAGAGGCGAATAGCTATTGACGATCGACAAATAGGCCTCACATGCGGCCGCTCGGAGTCCTGCCCTTTTGGTGGCAGACCACAACGCAGACAGTGCATGCCATGGTGGTCTCGTAGTGCACGCGACCTAGCGCACACCCGCGCGACGAGCACAGCAACAAAAACGAGAACCAAGAGGCCCGTGTGATCGCCTCGCGGCTTCGGTGCAGCGCTGTTAGCCTTTCTTACTGGACAGCGTTCGGAAGCGGCCGTACCTGTCGGACGGCGCTCGGCGGCGGTGGAGACCGGTGGACTGCTGAGACCGCGCGCCGAACGCACCTCTCCGCACTGCTTTAGGTGGGCGATGAGCGACCTGATGAACTCGTCAGCGCACACCGTGTTCGTGTCGCAGACAACGAACAGCTGGCGGCGGGCCCGCGTGACGGCCACGTTGGTCCTACGCCTGTCCTTCAGGAAACCAACGTCATTGCGCTGGTTCGACCGCACCAGCGACAGCAGCACGGCCTCCTTCTCGCGACCCTGGAAGCCGTCCACCGTGCCCACCTCGACCTGGCCGTGCCCGTCGAGCTGCCGCGAGTGCAGTGCGTTGCGAATCAGCGACACCTGTTGCTTGTAGGGGGTGATGATGGCCACCTGGTCGGCCGGCAGTCCGGCGAGCACCAGTGCGTGAGCGTGGCGCGCCACGATGTCCGCCTCGTGCTCGTTGACTTTCGATCTGTCGCGGCTGGTCTCCGCCATTTTGCAGCCGGCCGTGTCTACCAGCAGCAGGGTGGGGCTCGTGTCCAGCGTGTCCTTCACGCCCGGCAGCTGAGGTAGTCGGTGAGCACGCACCCCTTGCGCCGCCACCAGCCGCCCGTCATATATTGTCTCCGACGGCCAGCGCTGGATCAGCTCGTGCATGCGGTACTGGGTGCACAGCATGCGCACGGCAGCGTCACCGTGTAGCGCTACCTGGCGCTCCATCAGCGACAGGCCCAGGCCCTGGCGGGCGGCCACCCGACTCTTGATGGTGGCCGGCAGCTGGAAGTGGTCGCCGGCCAGCACCAGCTTGTCAGCGCGGGCCGCCGCCAACCAGCAAGCCGCCTCCAGGGCCTGCGAGCACTCGTCGATAACCACCAGGTCAAACGAGCTATTTCCGTATCTTCCCAGCGGGCCATCTTCATTAGCCATCGTCAGCGTACTCAGCACAATACCATTGCTCAGCAGTATGCGTTCCATTATTTCCAGCCGCGATATGTTTTGTCTTTGCCTTTTCTTCAAAAACTTCGGGATCCGACCCTGCAGCAAGTAGCTGTGCAGCCCTTCCGGGATCCGTCCAGGATGACCAACTCGCACCATGTCACGCTTCCCTGTTTTATGCAGGGCCGCCAGCAGGTTATCCACCGCCGCGTTGGACTGCGCGCACACAAGGACTCGATGCCCCAGCTTCCGGTGCTGCAGAATCGTCTCGATCAGGACGGTGGTCTTGCCGGTGCCGGGCGGGCCGTGGATGACGGCTAGCCGCCGCTGCCGCAGCGCGAACTCCACCGCCCTCCGCTGGCCGTCGTCCAGCTGCCGGTTGATAAGCCGCAGCCTGCCGTCGGCGTCGGCCAGCTCCGGCGGCAGGCGCGGCGCCGGCGGCTCCAGCGGCGTCTCGGCGAACAGCGCGGCCCGCATGCGGCGGGTCAGCTCGTCTTCCGCCGCCGCCAGCCGCTGCAGCACCGCCTGCATCCATATCACGGTCGCACCGTTCTCCTCGACCACTGTCACAGATAGCGGCTCGCTCCCGATATTTTCTGGGACCCGTGAGAAGACCACAGTCAGCTCATCTGGCGCGACGTCCGGCACCACCGCCGTGTAGGTCTTGCCGTTCCTTCCGGTCACCTTGACCCGGCTGCCGACCGTGATGTCATGTTTCGGAAAATTCGCCTTCGGCTGAGGGCTCCCCGGCCGCAGCACCGCTTTCCAGCTGCAATCGGTCTCGGTCTCTTCGCCGACGATCAGCCCCTCCAGACCGATCTTCGTCCGCTGAGCCTGCTCTTTTAGTTCCTCCTGTCGCTCTAGCCCCAGCAAGCGCACGTGGAGCTGCACTAGGGAGGCGCAGCTCATGGACCTCGCCGGGGCCTGCGAATACCGGCACCGGTCAGTATTGATGGACCGTATGAAGAAACAAAGGGTTGGAGGCTTTTTTAATGCTAGCTGATCATTTTTCCAGAACGCCCATGGACAGTACGTAAAAGGGAGTCTTCCGCATTCGTATGGGGCTTTTAACTGAAATGGTCATATTGAAAATCCTACGATGCAGTTCGCAGCACTGCCCTTCCTCCGATCTTACACGCTCCAGTTATTTAGCTAAGCGCTCGCGAAAATAGGGAAAGATATATCGGGAGAGCACATCAGAGTCATCTTGGTATTTATGACGTCATAGCATTTAAATGCTGCCATTCCATAACCATGCGGCAATCAAGGCATAAAATAATATTTTCGTTGAGCCCCACAGATCAGGCGCTCGTGATCACCATTTTCAATCATAGTGGACGCCAATTGGCTTTCAAACAATGATGAGAAAGCCGCGCAAAATCCAGTCACGCATCACGTTTTGTGCTACATCATATAAAAGGTTGGACATGATCGCTAATTATCATGGAAATACGACTTGCAATCGAAAAAATGAAGAATGCCCCACAACCGAGTACATGGATGCATGTAAACTTTGTAAACTGACGGGTAATTATGTAAGAATACCACGATAAAGGGCTTAAACACTAGCATATAGCGATGTTTGGTTCAGCGAACACTTCCAGCACCGCCACTGCCATCTCTCGAAGAGTTGAAGTACTACATTTGAGTGCTAGGATGGGAATTTCACACGACTAGTTCAGCAGCAGTCATACAAACGTTATATGAAGTAACCAACAATGACGTATTGAGGAGCATATTTACTAAGTATATAAATTGTGTTGTCTACATAATTTTTTCCTACTTCAAAGTATACAAAAGTTGTGTGAGTTCATTCAGTGGGATACATTTTTGTGAATGATTGGGGGCCGAGCCAAATGCTCAAAAGCTTCTCCCATTTTTCCTCAACGCGTTTAACCCACTTCATTCTGATACAAAGCGATTTACACTTCCAATTTGGGTATCATTTTCACGAAATGATATTCAGTTTAATCAGCATAGCAGTTATGCCGGAAGGATCCAGGGAAGGGAGGGAGCGGCGCACTGGAGGCACGTGCCCCTTCCGGCCGGAAGGTGAGACTCCCTCACCCCCCGCCCCCCCAAAGAAGCCACCTGAATGCTGAAGCTGAAGACACTCGTCGATAGCGGTCATGGGCGACGGCACGCATTTTTAGTTGTGGGGGACGGGGATGGGATTAGCCATGACGGACTCAGGCCATTCCCGTACTTCGGAGGTTGGAGGACTTCAGTGTGAGCGCTCACATATGTCTGATGGCCCTAGGTTACTCAAGTTTATTGCGTCGCTTACCCACCCTTCTGTCACCATTCTTATCGGGCGGTGAAAGCAAGCATGACATTTTATCACGAAAGGAGGAGATGTTCTAGCGTTGCTTGGTGCGTGGATCTATGCGACACAATTTGGGTCTCAACTTCAAGCAAACAGGTTCGTGGCCCAACATGGATGGAAGACCAAATGTCACTTGGCATCAAAGATCTTTGATGAAAGGATTTTGGGGTCACGGGGCCAAGTTACCCCGCCGCACTCTCCATGGCGACGCCACTCGGTGAAAGGATCAAAGAAGATATTCCTTGCGTGATGGCCAACATTTTCGTGCGCTTTTGGGACATTCCAGCCAAAAATGTTTGGGGCTGAAGCCAACATTCGGGGCATTTCAGCACTGGGTGGGGCTCACAATAGAATACAAATCGACACCCGTGGGCTTATTCCATCTTATTTGATGCTTGCTCCAATATCTTCAAACGCGGAGCATTCCCTTCAAACTTTACGAAAGCCGGAGGCCATAACACCTGCAATCATACCGAGCGTTCTACTCATATCAGTTAGCTGGAGACGATAACACCTACAATTATCCCAAGCGTTCCTCTCACGCCAGTCAGCCGGAGACTACAACGCCTCCAATCATACCAGGCGTTTTACCCGTATCAGCTACAGGCGCTGTAGTGATGCGACTAGGTCATTAGGCCGTCGCGCGACTGTGCCGAACCTTGTCCAGTGAGTAGACGGCAGCTCACAGTTATGTGCTACATTTTGGTCAGTCTTATGCACGGTAGATGTGGATCCAGTATCCACGTCTTCGCACAAACCATAAGCACGGCAAGGGTAGACAAACCTTACGTTAATGCTTTGGTTCCGAGGATGATTTTGTTAAAATATGTCATCCAAAATGTGTCCACGGGTGCATAGCCATGTTGCCGCTATATCCATCTTGTAAGGGATATCTTCCGAAGAGAAGAAGGAAGGATAAACGTCTGCAACTTGACAGTTCCTTTTTTCGCCTCTCTTGAAAATGTGTATTATATTTGCCTGCTTTCACTTCCTTGGGAAGACACCGGAACTCACCAAGAGGTTACAAATCATGATGCGCGGAGCAACTAACTTGTCCCTGTACTTGGTGATTACGCGGGCACTGATATTGTCAGTCACACAGACCTTGCTGGGACCGACCATAGCTATCCCGGATCGCACGGCTGCCTAGAGAGACTCGCAGCCTGCTCAGTGACTCGACTGGGCAGCAAGTTGCATCAGCAGGGCCCTAGTTAATAGCTGAGAAACGTCTTCCAAGGTAAATTGACTCTCAAATATTGCCAAACTGTTTACCCCTGCTTGTGCTGCCTCGATCGACCCGAACCCGGACTCTGCTGGCTGTACCTCGCGCTCGTGTGCAAGCAGTACAAAGCGGCCGGTTTTGTAGACTGCCAAGCGCTGGGCACACTTGTTTAGCCAACAACACTAGCGCGGATATCTTCCATGACAGTTCCAGCACTTTTAGGGCTCAAGTGATCAAGTGTGCCTTAACTCTACAGCATCTTCATTTAGCTTTGAGATATGTTATTTATCAATTATTTTCATACTACTGTGAGCTGAGTTTTTATTGCATTTTAATCAAACAACTTCGCCTGTAAGTGGAGTGCTGTTCTGCTGGTGATAAAGGAACATTAGCAAATGACCATAAGTGTAAACGTGTTGAACTGCAGAAAACAGGGGGGGGGGGGGGGCACTTGATAGCGGAGCACACTGCGGGGTTGAACACGTGTGGATAATGTTCGGCATGTCTGGTCCACTGAGAAGCTTCCAGCGGGCTCCACCTGCCTATTAACCACATGACGTGACGAGGCTCGCGGGGAGGACGACAAAACGCCTTTCCCATCCTGGAATGACGTAGAGAACGTTATGGAGAACGCGAAGTCGTTATCAGAATTCTGGACCTTCGCGGATGCCACGTGCACTAGAAAGACAACTGGCACGCTGCCCACGCCCTCCACGTTTGCCACAAAAATACAGAGCGAAGCTGCACGAACCCCGAGGCAGTGGCTGTTCACTGCCCAACTGAGAAACCTAGGCATAGCACGTGTGCAAACACGTGAGCTTGTTCATTTTTTTCCAGATCACGGTGGATCCTGCCATTTTGAGTGTATTTCTTCTGGAGAAAACGTGGCTAAATGCACTGAAGTTGACTGTTAAAAACCACCAAAATCAAGTAGAAGCATGATTTTTAGGTCATTTCCGGCCAGCCGGCCAGTTGATGTGACCAGCTGATGGCTGATGACTAATGCAGAGTTTTTGCTTTGGCTGTTAGGAAGGAGTACAGAACATCATAGCATTTAAAGCATGTTGAGAACGTGATACCAACTTCAGAAAAGCATCATCAATTTAATAACTAACGGAAACGGCATGCACGACGTCGACGGGACGTAAAATTCTGTTCGACAATTACGCGAAAAAATCATCGGCGCATGTCCAAGTGCTGCTCTAAGGCTAAGGCGCCAAGGGCAATCGCCATCCTGTGACCTCGGGCTTTTGTAAAGGAAGTAATTTAGTCAGGCCCGCACTCACGAGCAAGCGAAATGCCCTGGCGTTTGCAAGCACACGTTAGGCTTTTGACAACTGAATAAGGTCCTTGTGACGTCATCGGAAGAGCCCACGACCAATGTGGAGGGCCCCGGAGGGATCAAGAACGCCGTAGCCGATTAAGATTAAGGTTCGGGGTGGTCGTGGTATAATGGTCGGGGCGCTCGACCCTGGACTTGTCGTTCCGGGGTTTGGGCCCCGACCACGCCACCACCGCATCCTACATGGTGCCTGATGAAGGCATCCGTCTCGAAATGTCCCTGGCAGTCGGTGAAACGTAAGGCCCCTATCATTGCCATCGATATTTGCATCCCTGTCAATGACGTAGGTGCTCCTATAACGTGAGAAAACCAAAACCAAAGGGACGGCACCTGAGCGATCGAGGGTGCTGCGACAAGCTAACAAAGAGGCTCCCGTCAACAGTGTAGGGTTCTCAGAGCAAGCGAGAAGAACCTAAGACCGATATGGCGGGGACCCTGAACGATCGGAAGTGCCCCAATGGGCTAGCATATACGGCCCGGCCAGAGCACAGTACCCTCTAAGCAAAGGAGAATAGCCCGAAACCAGTGTACAT